AAAGTATCGTTTTAAAAAATTGTTAATTTGTCAATTTCACTGAATATCTTTTCGATTTTCAAAAATTCAGTTTTTAAACGATCTTTCGATTGATTAGCCATTTAAAAAAAATAAAAATGGAATAATTATTTAATAATTATTTAGAAAAAAAAAATGAATGACGGCGGGATCGAACCCGGGCCATCGGCGTGGTAGGCAAGCACGTTACCATTAAGACAACACGCTCATTCTGAAAACATATTTTCATTAGTAGTATATATTCAACATATTGAATTATTTTTCCATTTGAAATTCCATTTGAAATGACATGCATTATTTGTCATTAATCATAACATTCATCACCATGACAACGGTGACGAATAATTAATTCTTCAGAAAAAAGGACGGAAATAAAGAAAATGAAGTAGGAAAAGTGTTAATAAAAAGACATTAACGTCCCTGGAGAGAAGCGGCCGAAGTGGCGCTAGTGTGATTAACATTTGAAAGAACTAGCAGTGCTGACTTCCGGTTGCGTTCGCTCTAGCTTTTGGCGGCAATATTCAATCCACATCCACATTACATTATCTCCATTAAATTATTTAATTCTTTTTGATTCCATGGATGTGCACAAATTCATCGTTCAGGTGAAAATTCATTGCATAATATCCGATGCAATAATCATTGAATCCAAGTGAAACAAACTGATTCCAAGGCTCATGAAAATCATACTATCCTCCATTATTAATCCATGTACAATCCACGTGTAATTAATAATTAAATTTCTACGTAAATGTGATTTCAGAAAAGTAAATAAATCAATAATGGAATGCATTGAAAGTTGTTTTCAATTAATTATTATGTAAAATGTGCTGAATTAAGAAGCGACAAAAAGCAATCGAGTCACGAGTTATTGTTATACGCCTCGGAAACGCCCCATTCATACCTTGTTGGCTTAATGGCATAAAAATATTGTCAATATCAATATTACCAATTATTAATATTCCACTGAGTTGATCATATAATTCATAAAATACCAAACAAATCAATAATAGTACAGAGTAAATAAATTTAATAAATTATATTGAAGATGATGATATAGAAATTGTCACGAGGCCAAGGCTGCGCTCGTTGATTCGCTGGTGGATCGGTTTTCTATCTTCGAATTGGGGCCATGATATTTAGAGATTAAAAGCAAAATAAAAATTCAACTATGATAAAAAAAAATTCTAATCCAGCATAATTCATAATAAAATAGACGGATAAAATAATAATAAATGAAATTTGAATGGTCCGAATAGGTGAAGTAAAGAATAAAATAATTGGTCACGCGGTGGAGAGAAGCGGAAATGAGGGCGATAAGGTGGTACCATGGTGGCCGTCTTCCGGCGGGCTAAGCTACAAGTACCTCTGACGTCAGGTCACATGCAATGAAACGACTCTACTGATTGGTCATTCTCCTGTATCCCGAATGATAAAAGCCAATGAGAGAATTATAGGAGGGTCACGGGGCTAGTGGACGGTGTGAGTTCCACCTTTCTCGTGAGCTCGTCACTCATCACATGACCCACCGTCACCGCCACCGACACCATACCAGTGCCAGTGCCAGTACCAGTACCCACTAAGAGCCTCATTTGACAGTGCCTCTGCCTGTGCCACTAGTTTAGTGAAGTGAGTGCGCCACGATTGATTATTCATTCCGTAGAGCAGTTACAGACATTTCGTATTATTACCTCCAATTTATTTCCCCAAAAACCTGTAAATACTCGCTCTATTCGTCAATAAATCGAGAAAAACACTTGAAATTAAATAATCTTCAGTTGGAATTTCATTCCGTGTAGCTCCACAGTTCCAAACTCTGAGAAATAACAAAAATGCCAGGAATAGACGAAGAGCATCCCGTCTACGGGCCATTCTTCGGAGTTATGGGCGCCGCATCTGCCATTATTTTCTCCGGTAAGTATCTATTGTACATGCTTAATATTTCATTTCAGTTCTTATTAATTCTCGAATGCTATATTGATTGCACACCAATGCTCACAATACATTTCTCCATTGCAATTCGATTCAATTGCAGGCTTTATCATGTATCATTTTTTTTTTTTTTTTCATTTTCAATTTCTTTCCTTGAAGGAGGCTGCTGAGTACGATTGGCGATGGGTCGGTGGGCCAGGAAGGGCGGGGGGACGGGGCGTTCTTTTTTATCTGACTGGAAAGCAGAATATTCCCATTCTTGATTAGTGCACCATTTTCTTTCCTCAAATTACCGTTAATTCTTCAAGTGTCATGCTTTGTCGAAATAATTCTTAGATAAGAACAGCTTCACGGATCGATGATTCTCTGGTCAATCAGTGGAAATTTGTAGCTCTGGGTAGTGATAATGTCTCCCAGGTGCGCCATCTCGTGATTATTCAATAATTTTTCTTATTTAAGCATTTTTTTTGCTTCGATTCAATTTGGAATCACTGCTTCTCGCTCAATTGCTTTTATCCCTTGAATTATATTTGTAAATATAACTGAGTGGGAAAATTTCAAAAAGGGACAGTAATGAACCACTCTCACTCCAGCATAGCTATACTGTTGTCTCTCTTTCAATGGTCATTGGATAATTTCTTATGTGGAATAAAATACTTAGTATTTCATATTCGTATTAATGAAAAAATTGAAACAATAGAAGGCAAATAAGTGCTTGGTTGGTTTTTATTTTTATTATTTCATAATCTTATCATCAGTCAGTGTGATTCATGAGCAATATCGAATTGTTGATGAAAACATGTATATTTTGTGGAAAATTCGAAGATTCGAAAGCTGCAATTTGTTTTGATTGATGATGAAATTCCAAATACTGGATGGCTGGGGCGCAGCGGCTTCCCTTGGTTATTCCTATCGTGAGGAGATCAATACGAATCCCTTTCCCTGGATTCGTTGCTTCCACCTAACTTAAAAAGCCTCTGACGCGAGTCGTTAGCCCTCCAGGATCGATCCATGAAAAATTAATGTTAATAATAATAAAAGCAAGGATTGTTTGTTTGTAGTAATTGAAATAGTGAAAAAATAAAATGTTTTTTCACTTGAAGACGCGAAGGAGAATGTTGAACGACGGCCAAATGGGCCAGTCAGCTAGTTAGTTAGCTAGTAAGGTAGCTAGCCAGCCAGCCAGCTAGCTAGCCAGCCAGCCAGTAAACTCTTTCGTTGGAAAATCATAACGCGCCTGCCTTTATTCTGCGCGTTCGCAGCCACATGTAGTGAACGAACATAGGCATCACGTTGATAGCTGGCCAAAACCCTCACCAATTCATATTCATACAGATCTTGGTCATTTCTGAGCATTCAGATGAAAATTTATTTTTCACCTTTTCATCATAATTATTGGATTGATTGTCGTCGTGCACATGGAGGATTCACAGCGTGCCACGCCCCCCCGCTTCGCAGCTGACTTACATGACTGTCATGTGATTGCCAACGTGAACTTACTCATGTGACTCGTGGGCTGGGTCCTCCGGTACCCATCCATGGCATGCATGCTTTTACCTATCTTTTATTTTCTCCCAGACAATTACCACCAAATTCTTCAACAACTGTTATTGCTTAAATATGAATATTTTCGTTCAAAAGGTTTTCCTCAAGTCTTTGAACAACTCACCCAAACTGCCGGCTAAACCAGCTGATCAATAATCACCCACGTGAAGATTGTATGGGGGTGGGGAGTGTTAGAGTGTAATTTTAAAATATCAATAAGAGAATAAAATCATCATTTTTAATAAGGACATCTATAAATTTAATGAATAAGGCAGAGCTAGACACAAATATTTTTCTGAGATGTTTCCATTTTTTTTCTTGAAAGACTTTATATCTTTGCCCTAATTACTGGAAAAATTTTAATATTTTCATTTTTCATTTTTTCATGACCAATAATTAAAGTATGTAGCACTTCATTGACCTCAAACTCATCCAACGTATAAATTTTCGACTAGCACAGCCAATAATTATTCATTCACCATTTATAACAATTAAAAAATTCATAGTGTACAATTTCATTTTCATTTATAAAATTAATTGTAAGAAAATCGTGAATGAGCTTTAGGTTACATTAGAGGATAGATTTTCATTGGCATTAATTTTTTTGGTTGCAATTTTTTCAGCTCTGGGAGCGGCATATGGTACAGCAAAGTCGGGCACTGGTATTGCAGCTATGTCTGTAATGAGGCCTGAACTCATCATGAAATCCATTATTCCTGTTGTTATGGCGGGTATCATTGCCATTTATGGTTTGGTCGTAGCAGTACTAATTGCTGGCTCAATAAAGATACCTGAAGAATATCCCCTTTACAAGTAAGATGTTGTTTTGGCTGTCTAATTTATAATGAGAACTAAAACAAATAATTGTCAAATATTCATGCTTTCTTAAATTAACCAATTATTTCAATGAGTTTCTTTTTCTGAAAATTTTCCATAAATATCTCCCATTATATAGCAGATAACGTACATTCACGAATAAAATCTTTCAATCTATCTCATAGTATTCTGTTGCCTAATTATTCTTGGACATTCTAGGGGCTTCGTTCACCTGGGTGCAGGTCTAGCGGTGGGATTCTCTGGTCTGGCAGCTGGCTTTGCGATTGGCATCGTTGGTGACGCTGGTGTAAGAGGTACAGCTCAGCAACCTCGTTTATTCGTCGGTATGATCCTCATTCTCATTTTTGCTGAGGTACTGGGTCTCTACGGTCTCATCGTTGCCATCTTCCTTTACGCCAAATAAATCATTCATTGGTCGTTCCAAAAAGTAATATACAAAAAAAAACAGAAATAATTGAGACGCAATTAAATGAATTAATTAAAACAGTTGAAGCGGGAATGATAAGACACTATTGCCTGCGTATGAAGAATAAAATTGATGAGGAAAAAAAAACACTCCCTAAAGAAACAAAATAAATATTGCAACGTATTTCGACGTTTTATTTAAGAGAAAAGTCACATTTCTGCATATTGTACCCACCATCAAGCATTACAGATCCTTGTAATCTCATCATCATTATATATCAAAAACAAGAATTTGAAAAAAATACTAGATTCAATAAAAAAAAAAAGTGGCATACAATGGCAATTTGAAATAATCGTAAAGTGTGTATAGCAGGCAGCGGCAATTGCGTTATGAATGTTTAAAAATAGTGTGAAATTGAAAATAATTCACAACAGTATGCAAACCACACACGAACGACAGGCAATAGGTATGTACACTGCGAGAATGAAAACACATTAACCATAAAAACCACAATTTTTGATTCTCCACGCCGAATGTAAACCTTTCTCTTTCATTGTATAGTAATCATTTTGTAGTATAGCTTGACATTGAATTATCAATTAATAAATTAATCGGCTCTACTCAGTGTATAAAGATTATAAAAGGAAAGAAAAAATGTTGAATATAGTATTGACAATGCAGTTCTATCGATTAATGAGACATACTTAGCACAATTATTATACTATGGAAAAAAAAACAAACAAAACAAAGTGGAAAATAATAATAAGCGGCGTATGGTGTTCTGTGGATCAATGTGAGCGATGAAAATTTCTTTTAAAAAATTCACAATAACAATATAATAAAAAGAGTGATATAACACTTTGAAATCAAGACAAAATTCTTCATCAGCATAATAAGATTTGTACATTACAAAAAAAAAGAGATAAAAAATGCTTTCAGTTTTTCAAGTAGTTGTTCATTATTAATCATATATGCGTTAATGAGCATGCCACGTAAGGAGTGGATTTGTGAGTGCCGGGAACTTTGCGTGTATATCTAATACGAAAATCAGTGAATGGAGATAGTACTAAGTCAATTTCATCGAGGGCTGCTTGAACATGAAATACTACGATGATATACTTCTATGAATATCAACAAGCCACTCGTCTTCAGACGATTGTCCATGACATTCATGCCAACTATATCTTCATAAAATTAAGAATTGTTGCAATGGCCAGCACCAGTTCTGCTCACCATCCACAAATATCCAGGAATGTAAAGATAATAATTAAAAACTCGTGATGATGCACCAAAAAATCAACAAATGGCTTATTAAAAATGACATTGTAGATGTAGACCGTGAATGGTCTAATAAAAGTGAGGCGAATATTTAAATGGGAAAATAATGAAAGATGAAAAAAAAAAACGAACAAAATGTAACAATTTGTACATTCCATAAGGAGTTGGTTGAGTACACACGAGCGGGCAGAGATGATTCCTTCTGCATAATATCCAAGGTAATGATTATCCTGAGTCCACAGGACTGATTGTCTGGGAGCTGGCAATTGGCTCTGTCCGGCTCTAAAATCTCTGAAAAAGCAATCTTTTTCATTGAATGCACTTTGAAGATAATGTCAATCAATACGTAATTTACTCTGTTAACCCGCTCGCTGTGTTTATTGACTGTGGCAGTATCTCCTTATATTACCAGCTAACCAAACATCGAAGCTCAACGTATAGAGGCATTTCCGGGCGAGGAAAATTGTTTCTCTTTACTTTTCAATCTGGGAGTACACTATTTCGATTGAATATAATTACTGATTACTTCTGTTTGATAATGGAAAGACGAGATTTATTCATATCTCGATGAATGCATATCACGGTGTTGGCAAAGTTCTCGCTTGAAAATGCTACTATATTCGTACAGACTGGAATGAAATAATTATAATATGAAATGGACGCTCTTTCGATCATTCTCGCGGCAATGTATTAATATTCAGTTCATGAGGAACGGAAATGCTTGTTTTTTCTTTACCCCTTTTTTTCATTTTTTCTTTCCTCCCTGACAAATGCGATTTCACAATGTTTTATTGAAAATTGAGAACAACTCCCTAAATTTGACCAATTGAGTGCTTTTAATGTGGGGAAATCAGGGGAGCCGGATTGATTCGAGTCAACAAAGCGGATCATGTGACTATCTGGACAATTCCCTCGCTCCTCCCTTTATCCATTTAACTCTCAATGAAAATGACAAAAAAAAATGAATAAATAAATAAGGAATAATGCTGGGTGGATACTGAAAATATGTAATCGTTTGAAATAGTGCGCGTGTAATGTACATACCACCTTTGATGCTTGAAGCTATATAATTGCACGTCCTTAGGGTAGATTAAAATGAAATATTACTGTATTGAAACTGTGTGAAAGATATCAATTGAAATTGAGAGAAAAAAAAAATCATTGCTTATGGAACAATTATCTGAAATTTTGCGTGAGAGAGTGATGAGAGTGAGCGATAGAGCGTGATGATGAGAGGAGACAAATAAATAACAATTTAGATGATAAAATAAGGAAGCACTGGTATAGAGGGAGGAGAGAAATACCGTCACCATCCCCTTTTTCAAAAAGAAACAGCAAAGAAAAAAAAGAAGAAAAACCGTAATATCTTCCAGTGTTACTTGTAGATTCATTGTTGAGCGCTGAAAGTGATACTGATCAATAATTATTTATGTTATATAATTCGTCCTCGATGTTACAGAAAAAAAAAACCGTGTTTAATAAAAATTTAATTTGGACAATTGCCATTCTTCATATCCTTATACTTAAATTTTCATTCGTTTTACCAGCTAGAAAAGATGATTAATTGTAGGAGTGAGAAGGTGTTGATAAGGTTTGTCTTCAAATAAATCTAAACTCAATTATTGTTCACATGTTTACAAATTAATCAATTAATTGACGACACTTGTTATTAATTGTTGACGCAACTGATATAGTTATGTTCATTCTGTCTCTCATAAAAGATATAGATTTTTGTTTTTATCGAGACACGAAATGCACTGGCGCTAATGAATTAAGTAAAAGTGATATCAAATACATGCATCCCATATAGGGATATTCTCAACCTCAACTCTGAAAAATCTCCTTAATTTTTTTTCAATTCTAAAAATGATCAATGACTGGCAGTGAGATTCGCACATTAAAAATGCTGAAAAATTTGTGAGAACTAACTATTTATCATTGAATGTTTCAAAGTTATTTTTAATCAGGATTACAACATAATTCGTCAACTGGAATAATCCCACCATTTGAATGTAGTATATTTCGTTATTTTCTTCTCGTATCAGATAAATTTGGGAGAGATTACAGCAGGCGTATGTTACGACGGCCCATAACAAAGATTTCTGGACATTATTTTAATATACTGCCATGTTGTATAAATTCAACAACTTTTAGAGATGATTTTTACTATTCTATTCACCTTTTACTTTTTTATCTCATCCCTGTGAGAAATTTCAATGATGGTATTATTTTTATATACATATACACGTCTGAAGATGTATGAAATATGCATACACATATACAAGACTGAGAGCAATTGAAATAACTCGGGTCTTGTTCTCATAGTCTTTTCATTTCATTCGTTTTTCTTTTATTTAATTGCATTTAATATTCCCTCTTTTTGCTTATCGTCCTTCACCTGTAGTTACTTTTTCTTTATCTTCCGAATTTGAAGCGTAAAATGAGAGATTCATTAACAATTTAATTCGAGTAAATTATCTCTTTTTTATCATCGCAGTCATCACAACTTGCTACAATTTGTTCAAACTTGAAGATTATTCTATGAATATGATCTACTTGCGTAAAAATAATTTAAATGTTGAATTGAACAATGAAACTGTCGGTGACGAGCAAGTCATTCAATAAAATATCCTTCGAGGGATTATTCATATTTTCATTTACACTTCGAAATAGCGCTCTTCATTCCACATGCTAATGTTTTATATGAATATGTATATGAATTCGTAATTTTTTTTTGGTCATTTCTTTCAATTCGACGTTCGACCGCATAAAATTTTTTTCCCATATTCAATCCGGTGTTGCATTTTTCTGAAATAATACTGACGTTATTTATACATGAATTATTTATTTTTTATAGTTTATCGGCAAATAATTTTTTCAATTCGTTAGATTGGAAAGGATATAGAAATTAACTTAAAAAAAAAAAAATTATTCATCACTCGACAATTATTATGTTGAGGTACACTGATCATTAGATCGTCATCATTCATATTCTTTCAAAGAGTGCTCGGATAACAATTTTGCAAGGGAAACAACCATTCCGACAGACCAACTCATTTTTTAATTATCATAGTTGGTTGGTATTACAAAGGCAATAGACGGAAACACATTGTTATACCAAATGTTATGCCAGCGAATATTACATTACAATTGTCGCTATAAATTCGTTATTATAAATCGCGTGCGATGAAGGGAGTTATTACGTTTTCTCGTTACTTATATACGTTTTATTTGTTTTTTTTTCCTTTTCTTGTTTTTATTTATTTTTTTTGTCCTTTTCCCTTTAGATCATGTTAACATAGTCACTAGTGACTTCGCTGATAAGAATTACTCTAAACTTTCTTTATACTTTTTATTAATTTTTACTATAAAATGAAGACTTTATGTATTGAGTATTTGTCCACTAGTTCATATTTGCAAAGGAGAGAAAGAGAGAGGGGAGAGAGAGAGAGAGAGAGAGACGGGTGGGCACGTATAGTTTCGACTGAGTAAAGTAGACAAATCAACATTCGTCATTCTAGTCTAAATTTGATGAATAATTGGAAATTTAAGGACAAATACAGAACTACGTACATCTTAGTATTGATCATTGGATACAACGGGTTCCTTCCCACTTTTAAATACTTTTCTCATAAACATTTCCTTGATGTAACTCCTCAGGCTAACAAATGTTTTGATAAATTCCGTAATTTAATAACTATATACATCAACCTCGTTAATAATTATTATATTATGATCATGATAAACTATCGACAAATCAATACGAATGAATATTTCCTTAGCAATTGGTAGCTCGTCGTTTCGTGTGAGCCAACACCTTAGAAAGGGCTCAATTAAAAGAAAAAATCCATGAGAAAGGTGATAAGATAATATAAGGGAGGGAGGATTGGAATAATTGGATTGAGACCCTCAATTATTGCACTAAATAAATTCGAGAGCACTGATTAGCCGGCCTGAAGGTTCACTCAAAGCTTTCACATTAACTTTCAATTTCTTCTTTATTACTTAATAGATTTATTATTTTTTGTCTTCATGAAGTAGGAAGATTAGAGACTAATGACAACTGAGGAAGAGTGAGGGACATGCAATACCATGTAATGCGCTCAAAAACATGACCAGATATTATTATTATTATTATTTTATCTGCAATATAATAAATTATACCAGGGGTAAAGGTTCAGTATTTTATTTTTAGTTTCTCTAACTTTTCGTATTTCCTGCAGGTTGATGTCCCTACATTTAACTAATGTCTTTGTTAGTTTGGGTTGCAGTGAATTAAATCAGTTAGTGTTATTCGATGCAAAAAAAATTGATGAAGGGAATAAAAAGTTTTTAAATAAAGATTCGGGTGAAAATCGATTACATTGGGCAGGTGGAATTTGACTTTATGAACATCAACTATTGCCATTCACTTCCACATTTATTATATTTCTCCAACATTCCATCAATTTTAGTTAATTAAATTTACTCATTAATTTTAAATGTCTGTATTTCATATTTATCTTTGAAATTAGTATGTGTTACTCATTTTTCATAATAAATGTAAAAGCTGGTACACAGAGATGTATAATAAATGACTTGGCTACCACTTTTCCACAAATGTCCAATAATGGACGAAAAAGTTTTACAAAAGAAGGGAAAAAGGTTGAAAAAAAAAAAGTGTTTAAATTTCACACAAGCACAATACCAGACAACAACTTGGACAATACAAAATTGATCATTGATAGATTTTATGCTTCTCATAAATTTGCCAATTTCATGTTTTTCTTTTCCCAATTAATTGATAGTTCAGTTAATGTCCGCATCTTGCTGTACCAATGATCATTACCTACAAATACCAAAAATTAAATGGCCTACTATATATCAAATTTTAGGAGTTAGCAATTAATTTTCTTATTTTCCCTTGTTCTTCATATAAATCAATATTAATATTCAATTATCTAAAACATTTAAAACTTCCTGTTTTCGGGGTCTGTTCACTTAACACGCTTCAACACTCACACACAAACATTCCAGAGTCGTTGCATACTTTTTTCCCAGCCATCTTATTTCTCATTTTATGAATAATTTGTCTCTTTTTTTGTAGGACCATTTATGGAATTCCGGATGCGTTTCAACTCCGAGCCCCCATTACCCATAATCAACAAGCGTACATGACCCCCTCCCATACCCCTGGACTCACAACATGTTGGCTCTTGATTATTTTAATTTGTTTTGCGTTTTTTTTTTTTTATTTTTTTTTTGTTTTTCTTTTTTTCATTTTTTGTTTTTTTTTTCTCGCTTCTCTATTAGCTTTTCGGTTTTGTTTTCAGTTTGGACAAGAGACAAGGTAAATAAGTAAAAGTGAAACCCACGAATGAGCGTTAGCACGGATATTAAAACCCTATGTAAAATAATAGGTTGTCGTTTGGGTTGGGGATTGCCAGCCCCTGTCTTGTGGGTAATGTACCTAAGAAATTGATTTAATTGTCTCCCTCGTCCTCCTCTTCCTCAGAAGGTGCCTCCTGGAGCCAAGTTAGCCAATAGTTGACCTGAAACGAAAAATAAATTAGTGAATGATGATTATGTTATGTTAAGTAGTGGAAGCTAATTAGTGGAAGCAATTGCTGACTAACTTGGAATAAGGCTTTCCCCTTGCCAGGATAAGCATCGGTGACATCTTCCTTCCACTTGATGAAGGCTTCCTCTTCAATAATTGATAATTCATAGAGTGCGACAAACCATCGCAGTAGCATTCCCTTTGGGAAATCGTGCGACAGACAGAAGACCTGTAGCGAGTGAACGGCAGTTACTTGAGCATCGATGGTAGTGAGAAATGACTCAAGTACACGTGTGTACTTTTGCAAAAGTCCGCGTTCTTTCTCTTGGAGGGACTTGTCGGGTACGCTCGATGTATCGATGCCAGATGCAAGTGTAGTTTCCTGTGTGATGTACTTAAGAAGAACAGTCATAAGTGCATTGATAAAACCAGGATCTGAATGATGTGCTGGATCAAGCTTATCTTTGATCCACTTGTAGAAAACTTGTGGACTGGGATCGCTCTCCAACTGACGCCACATATCCCCCTGAATTCTCAATAATGGATAAAGGAAGGTCAATTCACGATCCTCGAGTATCTCACCAAGTCTCTCCTTGGTCTTCTCGGCCTCGGGCAATTGACTCATCAAATTCACCTTACTGTCATTAAATATCTGTGTAAGAACAGCCTTACCCTGGCTTTTATGCAATTGCTGGAGAGTAAGGAGAAAGAGAGGATGGTGTTGTCCATTCTCGGTGACTGAGGCAAGATCCTGAAGTTGCATTAGATTATTGACAATGGCCTTAGCGGTGATTGATGCAACATGAGAGGCAACACAGGGTACAGTGCTCTCTTTATCAGCTATACTTGCGACGAGCTCCTTCCATCCCTCGTTCATTTGTTGTAAAGTAAGGATACTCTCTTTTCTCATCTCAGCGATAAATTTAACGGCGAATTCCCTCTCAGAATCACCCCTCTCAAGTGTATTGGAGTAAATAGTGTAGACAGCATGACGTAAAAATCTCTCTGGGACCTTGAGATCCTTGAGAGTGGTAATTGCGTCTTTGAGATTAGTCTCTGCAGACATATCGTCCATCATAGTATTAATTTTTTTAACAATCTCGTCTTTAGTGGGGCCTTTATCTTTGCGATCGCGTGCTTTATCACGTTTATCTAGCGGGCCCTGTTTAATAACAATAGCTGGTGATGTTTCTTTGTGCGGTAAAGGTGGAGTTGCCTTAATAGCAGGTGCACGCATCAAGGGAGATTCAAGTGTGCGACCTTGGAATATATCTGAAGTAAGAGGTAAACTCGGTGGTTTAATGCTAGCCTGTTTATTGAACATCATAGAAGTGGTTGACGGGCGTAGTGATACCTCCTCAGGATGTCCAATGAGCATTTTTGATTTGTTAAAGCGCAATCCTTGATCCTTGTTACCATTGTTATTGTAATTCTGAGGTGAATTGTGTTGTTGTTGATTGTGTTTAGCAGAATAATTATTCTGATGTCTATTTTGGTTTTGAAAATAACCACCCGGTGTTTGATTACGCTGATTGTGTCGGCCATAACCAGCGGATGATGGTGGAGTTGGAAAGCCATTTGGACTGAATGGTGATATGCCACCAAATGATGGTGATGATAGTGGCATACTTCCAACAATATCCATATCAATACCAGGTCTGCCAATTTTACGTAGAAAATCATTACCACCAAGACGATCCTCACGTTGTCTGTTGTGATAAGAGCCAGTGGTTCTTGAGGTATCATCGTTGTCATTGCGGATTTGATTAATTGGCATTGGGCCCTCGGTGCTGGTTGCTTTACGTGGTACCCACCCGTCGCGTCGTAATTCAATAACGTCACGCAACATAAAACGTATGCGTAATGGTAAATCACAACTCTCTGCCAGGGAGTTCATACGTTCAAAGTATTGGTCCATGAGATAGCGGCCCTTATCCGAGTCAAGGATACGGCCGCATGTTCGCATAATTTGACAGAGGCATTCGATGTCCTCGGCCATGTCCCCCCTGGGTCCCTTGGCTCGTCTTTTGTTGTGTAACAACTGCTGGATGCAACTGTGGAGTATCGAATCCGATACGATTTCAAGTTTACCAAGCTCTCCGATGAATTTAATGTTTCCAAGCATTTTACGTTTTGCCAGTTGACGGCGTTCCTCCTCCTCCGGTCCAAGATCATCTTGTCCTTCGAATGCATCATTCGCTTTTGAACGATTTTCAAATTCTGCCCTACACTTGTTGAGGAGTAATAGTCTGAATGTACTTTGAGCTTTCTGACCTTCGATTGTTGGCTTTTGGGGTTCAAAGTTTGGTGCTTCGTCGGCCAGCCGTTTGCACAGCTGTGCGTACATAGAACTGTACTTGGGTTCATCGAGTGCTTTTTCAAAGATCTACAATCAATCAAGTCAATTATTTATTGTCAACATTATAATACTGTCGTGCTGATAATGGTGCTGTTACTCACCAGTAAAATAACACCTTTGAGAATCACATCGGAATTCAGCTCAACTTTGAGCAAATCGTTGCTCAGCTTTGCGAACTTTTCCGGTGTGAGCTTGTTAAGAATACCCCGCACCTTACGGAAGATGAAATCATTTCTGTTTTCTGGGGTGAAAGCATCGCGTCTAACAGTTGAAGGAGGGATCCAGCGTCGCTCAGTGGATAGGGAGCGATTATCGTCCCTGGAAGGCATCGAACTTTTTAGTCGCGTTGATGGAAAATACACTCGTGACTCGTGAAAGTTAGATTGTTTTTCTTTTTTACAAGGTTTTTTGTTAAAAGGCAACTCGAAAGCCCTTTAAACTCTGTGTGTCACAAATGCTTGACTTTCTCTCAACTTTGTTAAATGTACGTGTGATTTTTTTTTTGTCTATTTTGTTTATTTATGAGTTTTGATTTTTTTTTTTGATTGTTTTTTTCAGTTTGTTTAAGCCAAGGTGACTATGAGGACCCTGACCTTCCTCCCGAGACACGAGAAGCACCCCCCGGTCCTGTGGGGTTGTCCGTTGTTGCGCGTGTGTTGGCCCCCTGAGTGATAAATTTCAGCACAGAGAACTTCCTTTAGGAAGCTGAAACACAAATATTAACAATAGTTTTATTGAAATTATTGTGTCTTTCCAATATTATTGAGTATTTCCTTTGACACGAGCTGCGCCAAGCCACATCTGTCACTGAAAATCGGCAGTGGTTCGGAATCATTTATTGCTCCATGGATCTTGCATTGAACCCTCGATTGATTCACACTCTTTTTACTTAGAAAATAAATTGTTATTTATTGATCATTGACCACGAGATGAATTTAAAGCATTTTTTTCTCTTTTTCTATTTTTTTTTAAATTAAATCACTCTCCTCATTATAAAAATATATGCATTCCCTCCATATTTTCTTCACACCGCTCTCATCATTGGAATTGGTGAGTATTTCTGTGCATGTAGCGAGTAATCTCGAATACATGAATCATACTCCAACAGTGGAAGGGAAAATTTCATTAGAGTTGATAAAAATGTTTTTATTTTTTACTGATGGATAGCCAGAGAAATAGCATAAATATTGCCGAGGAGAATGCACTGCCATTTTCTTCTGTTAAATTCAACTTGACATTGTGAATAAATATATAATAAAATGAAAAGTCATTTCCTCTTTTGTGATACACTAACGAACGAAACACGCAATGCTCTCCTAACCATAGCATCCCAACGATTTACTTATATGAAATGGAATATTTGATGTATAGGGAAATAAGGATATGAATGAGAGTAGGTAAGGGAAAAATGAAATGAAAAAAAGGGATATATGTGTTGAAATGTATGTGGGGCGCGGCTCATGGTCAGACGGTCAATGAACCGAGTATGAGAATGCGCGTAGTAGTCTCACCCCGCGCAAGCCATCATACGACAACGTCGACGTCCTGCCTTCGCCTGGGTACTTTGGCTTTGGCTGTACGGAGGTCGCTCGACTTTGCTCGTTTGTTGGAGGTCGTTCGACTCTCTTTCTACCCGATGCGGCCACTCCCTCATTCGTCGTAACCACCACCTACCTATTTCTCGCCGCAATAATATTTCTCTACTGTGAAAATCAATTAATTTTCCTAGTGAAAAATAATTCCATGAAATTTTTCGTTAAATGAAAGTCTTATCTATGTTTCCTCCTCACCGCCATCACAAAATGTCTATTGCTTTGAAAAAATTTGAAAATTCTTCAAGTACACACACACCTCGAAAATTAAATGGCGTAGCTATTTGCAATACTCCAATATCCAATTATATTATATGATATTTTGTTCATGTTATTGGCGGGCACAACAAAAGGACAAACAACATACTGGGAAGCAGCTGGTTTGAGTCCAAGTTCAGTTTCTTCAGCACGAATGCGCGTGCGACCTTGAGGGCCCGCCTGTTGGTGGAGTGAGGGAGATGGAAATCAAGTGGAAGAGAAGTGTCTGTACTTCGATATGTCTTGAAAACTCTATCCCTAGAATTTCCACGAAATCAAATAATCAATCTACTTGGCGAATTCATACAAGAGAAGAAAATAATTGTTCAACATTTAGTGAATTTTTATGCCATCTGTAGAGCCTTGAAACGTGTTGAGAGTCACGCACATGCACTAACGATCCTTGAAATAAATTCATGTCAATGCAGAGATATGAAAGGTGAGTCGATGAACAAAGGAGATAGAGCACCGTGACGTAAAGAGCACTGCGCCTATATTCGTATATCACGTATTCTTCTCTTTTGTGTGCTAAGTCACTGACTGATGGTGACGGGAGGCTGCCGTATGCTCTTTGGATGTCAGTGGTGCCAACGTCAACGTGTTAATTAAACATTATACTAGAGAATTAAAGAATAAATTTGTTTTGTCAATGTAATTGAACAATTCATATGTCCTTTTCGGGGTGAATGAATGCAATGAAAATGAGATAAAACAAGCGAAAGACATGAATAATCTAGGTCGTAGCTTCAAAGTTGGCCTCGTGCTCCAGTAGAGAACAACAGAACACAACTCAGAGAGCCTCAGAGAGTAGAGATGTAAATTAGGTATTTGTCACGATGAAATCATAAATTCTCCGATCGAGAGGGAAATTACGATTGAATCATTGGTATGTCCTCTACCTGCAATAATATTTTGCAATGAGTGTATTATTATCAATGACGTCTGCATCACTTTTTTCACGTCACTTACACGTGGGAAAAATGAAAAATCACATTATGTATGAAAAAAATGTTACTCAAAAATTGAATCTCAATGAATCACTCCAATAAATAATGGATAAAAAAAAATCTATTAGGCATATTGAAGGTTTATTTAATATAGACCGCACGTGGAAATAAACGAGGTGCATTACTGAATAGACGCTAGAGGGGTGTAAAGTGGACATGGGAGATACTCGTTGTATTTTTAAATCCACTTTCCCTATGAAATTATTGGAGGGATTTATCACTGGTACCACATCTACCTTACAAAGATCTTATTCTCATTCAGAATGATTATACTCAAGCAATACAATGATGTATAATAACAACAATTGGTTATTGCACTTGCACCACTGTGCTCCAAAAAATTATGAAGAATGAGTTGGTTAATTTGAAATGATAATTTAATAATTCAAATATAGTAATTCAAGGGGAAGGGATGGAAAAAAAAAGAATCAATAGCTGAAAACACTGCCGTCTGCAGGCAATGAAATTATTAAGTCATGCTTGATTATTCCAACAATTATTTATTTTCATTATAATTCATTTTTTTGTCACATTATGGATTACTGAATAAACTAAAAGAGGTGAAAATTAAAAAGTCTCCCGATTTCCCGATACAAGATGCTGCGAAGACGCCGCATCTTGCTACATGGAGAAGTGTGTGTGGTACTTGGAAAACAAGGGGATCGAGAATACAGGAAATTTATCAAGAGCGGGGGAAAAATAATGTATTTTCTGAATTAGTAGAATGTGGTTTAGCGTCATGATGAATTCCTAGGAATTTAATCGATCAATGTTCCAGTGAATATATATATATATAGAAGTGCTGAGACACAACTCCGCTGTGTTGTCTCCTTTTCAGAGGGGGAGAGGACAATGGGGTATCCCAAGCAACCGAGCAGGTAAAATAAATTCCCAAAATTTTTTCAATTCAGGTGAAAATTCAATGAAAGTGTAGAAATGTCGAATTTTCCGAATTTGTTGAATTAATTTCAGCACTGGAACAATATAAATGCCATATAAATATCAATGCGCCAACTATTCCATGAATATTAATTGAACGATCGTGGGGAGTGATTTTTCGGAGAATAATTAATGATGCTGTTAGCATGAGAAAATGAAGAAGGTACGGGTACGGATACAACAAGTTCGAGCACGCGGACAAACACCACGAGCATGAGCAGGCACGAAAAGTCAAACTATGTCATCATGTAATAAAACGTCAAAAGTATGCCCGGATTGCGTGGGTCATACGTTGAAAAAGAACAGCTCGGTTAATGGTGAGGTCATTCTCTCTAGGGTGAATTTCCCCATTGAAAGTGGAGAAGAAAGAGGTAAAGGAGGCATTCCAAGTAAAAAAACATGTGGATTAAATTTGGATAAATGAAAAATAAAGCTGGGGAGAGGAACGGAAAGATGGAAGATGCGCCCGACATGACGCACGAAACGACGACGTACATGCCCGAGCCGTAAAGCAGCACCTACCCTCGATAAAATTCCGTCCCACCACGGTGCCTTATTCCCAACAATTTTTTACTCTTCTAGCCAGCAATTGATCACTCGGATACTAAACCACTATTAAAATACCATCACCGTTACAAGTATTAACACCTCAACGAGCACAATTGTAGCAACTTGAGTCAAGTCCTAATGATTATAGTGTAGAAAATCATAGAAGTAGGTTTTACTTACGGTAGACGGTTGTTGTTTGGTGAAGGCTTTCGCAATCTATCGGTCGGACTCGGGGACTTCCGCACCATGCACGTCTTGTCACGTCAGCGTCCGCCGTGCGACTAACCTGTCGTCCCCCTACGCCCCTTCTGCATGCACTACTACCATTCAATCCTACCTCTATCCACATCACTAAATCCTCTTCATTTTTTCAAAATTTCTATTTACCGCCTGACTTTATTTATTCAAATCATTTTTACTATTATCATTAATTTTTATTATATCAACTTGACTAGGTTTGTGGAGAAATCAACGACGTTATTCCAGCTACTTCCCTTTTATTTAGGCTACTTTTTTTTCATTACAATATCTCTATTGTCGAGCAATGTTCATTTTCCCCTATTTGCAATTTATTTTTTATTTTTTTTTATTTTTTTTTCAATTACTCGGCTTGTGGTTGATGACTGTGAATTTTTTGACATTAAATTGCAGTCTACAATTGCCTGAAGTTCGACTCTAGTAGTGGCGCCTGGGTACGGGATACCAGAGAATCATATTATATTTTAGTATTTTAGTGTGTTAAAAATCGCAAGAGAATATTGTCAGAGAAACGGGACCCTAGACACCGTTTAGGCAACTGTCATTTTCCGAGTTTGGCGAATGTTCGATTTTGGTGCTTAGTCGTTGTGAACAGTCAGAAGTAAATCACCATCTCAACAATCTCAACTGTATTTTTTAATTAAATGCAGAACAACGAGAGGTATTGGGGCTGAAGATACTCGAGGAACGTGTCATACATTTTAAAAAGGTAAATTGGTCTCTTAATGATTGGTGGTGATATTCTCCTCATATTCTATGATATTCATCGTGTATCAATTAATTATTATAATTGGCCCGGCCATCAAATTGGCACTCCTAATTAATTGATATTGTATTGATGTGTGAATGTGTGATTCATTCCAAAACCAATGATACTTGACGAATGTCATCATGTTAATCATCCACTTCGAGTACTATTATTGGCAATAATAAAGATTCTTCATTTTTAATTTTAATCTAATCCTTATTTAAAAACAAAAGCGTAAGCCTTTCTGTTCAAAAATATGATTTTTCGGGATAAATACCGTATAATAATAACCACACGCATACTAATAAATAATTATAAAATATTATTCACTTTTCAACGATTTTCATCTTTTGACAATGGGTGGTCGTTCTTCATTATTATTATGACTATGACCATCTCAATTGATCGTCAAATAAGTGATATAAATAAAAATTTAATCATCTTTAGAATAAAGGATGGCACATGGTTCTCAAAATTACGGGTCGACAGACCACAGGACTGATGTACCTGATGTGGGATTCAGTCCAACTGAACTTTACAGCCTCAGTGAGAATATAACAACAAATATATATACGATAAATACCGGCTGGAAAACACTGGAAAGAGCATTCAAAAGCATAGGGACTAGTAAAGATAATCAGGGGCTCAGGGACAAAGTGTAAGAATCTATTGTTACTAATCACTGTACTTATTTTTACAATGGTTAAATTATTCCTTAGGCATAATACTCAAATGAGTACAAATCAAGTGGTCACCCAAACGAGTAAAGACATAGCTAGGCTGACAGTACTGATGAGGCGTGGTGATAAACAGCAAAAGTTACAAATAGAAAAACTAACGACAGACTTCAAAGAAGCAGTACGAAGATATTCTGACATGCAAAAAGTACGTCACTACATAAAGAATGTTAATACAGTAAACATGGAAGGCATGTGCAAAATATCTAGATGGATTTTAGACATTTTTTGAAGTACAACACTTTAGAGTACTTACAGACGGTACAAACGGCATTTTCAATTTATTTTCTGGTTATTATTGATAACCATTATTAAATTAACTTGTCCAAATTCATAGATAATTTTTTTTGTAATCTTACCCGCGATGATTGTAGACACTAGCTGATAAATCTAAGAGGCATATCTTACCCTCTACAAATCTTATGGATAGTCAGGATGGTGATGGTGACGTTGATGTGGATGTTGATGTTGATGTTGATGTTGATGTTGATGTTGATGTTGAACGTCAGAGTCTCATGCAAGCCTACATGGATGATGAAAAAAAAGCAGAGCTAAGGTAATCTCTTCGCTCATCAAGCTTGATAAAGACCATTAAAGACTAGATGTATTATTCGTGACATGATGATTCTTTCAGAACATTAGAATTCGAGCAAGGCATGGTACTGGAACGAGAGGATAGGATAAAGCGTGTTGAGGGTAATATCCTCGATGTGAATCAAATAATGAGAGAATTAGGTGCACTGGTACATCAACAGGGGGATGCAATTGGTAAGATATAAAATATTAAATTCATTATTCCATTCAATTCTATAATAATAACTACCTTATTCGTTCAGATACCATTGAAAATAATATTGAGAACGTTCATGGAAATGCTGAGCTAGGGGCACAGGAGCTCGTAAAGGCCAGTAATTATCAAAGTAAATTCAGACGGAAAATTTGCATTCTCCTCGTAATAGCTGTTATCGTTCTCATTATACTGACCATTATTCTAGTCACGAAATTGAGTTAGCGCTTCCAGCCAATGTAGATTATATTTTGTTCAAACTAACCAAGGGCTGTCTCAATTACCTTTACTATTTTTTATCACTACTATTGTGGAGAAGAAAGATATTCTATGTCTTTTTGTTTTTAATATGAATTATGAAAACGCACAAAACGAGTATTACTCTCGATAAGTTGTTTTTCATTGTATAGAATATAGGCAAAGGTTTCATTATTCTCAGCTGCCAGTAATGAAATGGAATTTAATTAAATAATAATTACCAACTTTTTGTTTGTTCAGTCAAGCGTGAACAGGTTAAAATTGTCCGAGACAACTCAATTAACTCGAAAATCCAATTTGAGTCAACGTAAATGATAATTGTTAGGCATTCCAAGATAAAAAGAAATAAAATTGAAAATAGATTCATTAATTATCACCATTATCATAAACTATTATCTTGATATTGTATATACTTCTAATGAATTATCTTTCTCGGAGGATACTCAGTAATATTGTAATTGTTAACTTGTATGCAAAATTATAGTAATAATGCAATTATACTACAAAATATATATATAAAAAAAAACAAAGAAAAAATAAATACAATTTTAAAACCTACTTACCTATATTCTATTAAAAATTATACTTGGTGTACTTCGAGTCTTTCATTGGTTCTATTAAAAAATATTTATGCAATTTATTTTATTACTATTGAGGGTACAGTTCTCATCACATAAATAATATGAACTTTATAACGTTTTTACATACAACTATTTGCACAACAATCTTCGAAAATTCATGTTTATTATATTGAAACTTGGCAAGTATGGAATTAAGGTACGGCCGAATTATCTCTCCGACATTATCTACGTGGTTATTGTTGTATAACATTAAAAAAAAATCATTTTACAGATGGAATCATCGAATTGATGTATGAAAGCATCTACGAAATAATACTTTTTAATAATATAATGAAGAAAAACAGAACAAAAAATAATATCTAGGAAATGTAGAAAAGATAATTCAACTGGGTCTTAAGATTTAGGGTATTTAGTACATAGATGCTGAAAGATGCTCCTTCTTAAAGAGTAAATAATACTATCGAACGAGTTATTCCAGTCTTTTTATGGATTAAAGGGTTACACTATACTGGAAAAAAAAATCGTTTTTTTTTCGCTTAAAAAATTTGTTATTCTTTTAAGAATATTTTTTCTTGAAAATTATTCGGAAATATCTATGATATGTATGTAAAATAAAAGTTTCCGTATAAATATAATATGTGCATTAAAGAACAAATTCATTTTTTGACCTGTTTTTTCGAGCGTCAGGGTAGTGTAACCCCTTAAGACAGATAAGAATAATTTTTAAATATCTATACTTTCTATGCTTTCAATTTAATATTTTGCAACTGTGGTCTGCTCGATTTTAATCGTGACTGCAGGGTGAGAAGCAATCCAGCAAGTACATCGTGGTTGGGTAATTTTTTAGCAAATAATAGACGTTTAACTGAGTCATCGTAGGTCAGCAGGGCAATCATATTTTGAAGAAGAAATCCCTGGCAGTACTCTAGTAATTGTGCAGCGTTATATACCTGGAGTTATACAAGAAAATAATCGATGAAAATTTGATGGTAGGCAACATTGGATTGTGGCAGAACTACCTTAGCATGGATGTACATGGAAACGATGTTATCGAGATCAATCATAGCAGAGCATTGAGATTCGCAAAATCGAAGCAATCCATCCAGTTGGAAAAAGTTGGCTGCTGCCATTAATTCTAATACATCGCTCTGGTTCACTTCTAGAGTAGTACAGCCACCGTGGTATAGAAATTCCATGACCATCTGGGAAGTAAAATCCATTGTTTATTTAAAATGACTTTTTGTATCTTTAGTTTTGTTTCTTTTTTTTTTCTTTTTTTTAGATAGGAAACGTGAGGGATATTTTATATCACCTGAAAAATATGATAACGTATATCATTAATCTGCACGATTGGTGGGTTTCCCTCACACAATTTTGAACTCAGCATATTCCTGAACCTCGGTGAAGACGTGACCAGAACAATTTTATGTCCATAAAATACCTTCCCCTCCACTCGGAACTGAACATCACTTAGCTCTGGATTATTAACAAACTTGGGGTCTATCCTAGAACCACTAGATAGAGTTGTATCCCTGATTGGTTTTATCGGTTCCCATCCAAAGCAGGTGGAGAATATATCACCAAGCAAAAGTATTGTGTCCTCCCTCTGTCATTCACGAAAAAAAGAGGAGTGATCAACGTAATTGATAATGATGCTAATATGATTATACTAATAATAATAATAGAAAATACAAAAGATATTCATCACTCTTCCTCAAAATTACTCAAAATAGGAATTTATTTATATTATATTATATTATATAGTATTACCTTACTATATCGAAAGATATTGAATAGCAACGGAAGACACTCCTGCACGAATTGATTAGAGTAATCATCTGGACGGACTTGGAGAAAATCGTGGAGTAACTGATCAATGACAGTATCTTTTCTCATTTCATGTGCCGTGGAGAGGCTGTGAATCCAGCAATGCAGACTCCACATTACGTTGAATCCTCTGAGCTCCATAGTAATATCGAGATGATTGCTCTCAGCGCTGTGGTACATGGCTTCGTGCAGGGCTTTATTCTGATTTTTATTAAAAACCGGTTCCTTTTCCTCTTTACGACCACTGCGACCATCCAACGACTGCTGTTGTATGTTGCTCTGGTATTGGCCAGTATTAGAATTTCCCTCAGCGAGAATTTCTTCAAGGGACAAAACCTCCTCTCTTTCACCTCGTTTTGCAGAAAAATTCAGGGGATTTGAGAGAAGCTGACGAAGACAGCCTCTCTGTCCGTGAGCAGTTGCCACTGAAATAGCTGAATAACAGCCTCGCTGCGCAGCCCCAGAGTAACAGAAGGAGTCCTTCATAAGAGTAGATAAGAATGGTTGAGCCCCATGTGCCAGCAGCAGAGCGACCATCTCATGATTTCCAGTGGCTGAAGCTGCCTGGAGAGGAGTCACTGTGCACTTGTCCTCACTGAGTTTCGCACCACCCTCGACACCTGCTCCTCTCTCTAACAGAATCCTAGCGATACTGCAGTGACCCAGAAGAGCAGTGTATGTCAGAGCTGTCCAGTGTTGTGTCTCTGGATTGAAACAGCTCTGAATAGAATTTGAATTGTTGCCATAGGAGTAGGAGGGTATTTTTTGTCCAGGGCTACTTGTAGTTAGGACGGCGGTTGTGATAGTTGGATTTATTGTTGGTATTGTTGAATTTGAATTGGCGAGTGGTAGTGGGCTCTCGACATTGGGATCTGCACCGGCGTCAAGGAGGGCAGTCACTGCAGTCTCATTTGCTACAATGCAAGCGAGCATCAGAGCTGTAAAGCCATTGTCATTGACAGTATTGTGTTTAGTGGTGGGAAGAAAAGCACAGGCCTGGGATATGAGCTCCGCACGACCACTTATCATCATCTTAAAGGCCATATCTAGGCTAAGACGGCGGATATATTCCAAATCGTCAATGCGTTTCGATAGAGTTATCTCGTCGAAAGTGATGGAACGCACTGGACAATCGACCCCAGGAAGGAGGAGTCTTGCTGCTTGATTTATATCGTCGTGGTCGAGGATGAGGCTGTGACGGTGGTCAGCATGTGCTGTAGCTACCCGTAGCCACTCGACGAGGGGTGGCAGTACAACGTAGGCGCGCTCATAGGAGAGTTCTTGAATTGCTGGACCCCCTCTCTCACCATGCTCAAGTTGAGAACAGCGCATATAATAAAACAAGGCATTTAATGCCTTATTGGTGAGCGGTAGAGAGGACCCGCCGGTATGAGAAACTTTTCCAATTAGATCGAGTAATTCGGCCATTGAGCCAACACAAGTTGTCAAGAGTGACGACTCAACGAGTGCCGCAACAGGCAGTGTTGTTGATGTCTCTCTTCCACTCTTTGATGAATTTGAAGAGTTTAATGAACTGACACTAGCCCATCTGGGCATAGCGAGTGCCCCACAAGCTATTCTACCGGCGTTTAAATGTGCATATGGCTGAAGGAGTCCCCAAAGGTCACCACTGTTGGCGATTGCATGTTCCAGCATGCTAGCTGTGAGAGTTGTGTGGGGCTCAGTGGGAAGACATTGCAACAGTATCTCCTCCAAAAGATTCTCCATTCCTGCAGCAAGATAAATAGCAGCATATTCATGAATCATCCTACCAAGTTTAACATCTGACATCCATCGAAAGAATCTACCAACTGGAAGCTGAAGGCCAGAGCGAGAGGCTTTTGATTGTTTGATTTGATCTCCAGAAACGGCAAACATGGCAGCAGCACGGAGGCAAGCCTTTGTGCAAGAATCAGCGAGGGCTGGACAGAGGACTATTTTAAAGGCAGAGTACACTTCGTACTTGGAGCAAAGACCGAGAGGCCTTGATAATCTCTGTATTTCTCTTGCGATGCGAACTAGGGCACGTTGGAGGAGATATGAGAGTCTCGGAATCGTCTCCATCGCTACCTCATCCACATGTTCTCGAGTTCTACCATTTTGCAGCAGTCTTAAAACGTCGTGATGTGTCCAGGGCAGCTGTTGTAGCTCCACCAAACGATTATGGGAATCAACCCATACAAATTCATCAGCACTCGTGACGTTTGTATTGATTGTCTCAAGACTAGAATGTCGTATGAGTCTTCTAACTGCCGGTTCAGAACTCTCAGAGCCACTTAGAGAGGAGTAAGTTGACGTTGATGTGTGGGAACGCATTGTCAGTTGCTGAATGGCTAGTTTAATGTCCTCCAGTCCAGAACTATGCTGCGACCATGGCACTCCATGCAACTGTATCGTCACCGTGTTATCAAGTACATATTAATGGTATTTTAATGTTATATTTTTGGGATATAAACGGCACTTACCTTGGCGGGAGTGGCTCGATGGCGATTACGACTCTGTCCATTTCTTATGCGGCCATTTCTCTGAGTAACTGACGCTGAGAGCCTGTCATCCTCGGGGACGGAATTCAATTGGCAAGGATTTTGACTACGGTGATGACGATGGGGTGGGGAACTACTGCTTGTATGTCCACCTGTATCGGACATACTTGCGTGCCCTGATGAACGGTTCTCGTCGGAGGAGCTATTGCCCGTACCCTCGCTACTCATACGTCTCGGACCCTAAAATATTTATCATGATCTCAATCTAATCCACTATTATTCAATTTCACTATTCTTAATCCTCCCTCATAATATATTTACCAATTATTTCAATTATATTTTCATAATTCAACTTGATCATCTTCCTTATTTTTATTTATTTATTTAATTTTTTCATATAATGAGTATAATATGCCTATCTGCCTCCACCATACTATTTGAAAAAAAAAATAAACAAAACATGTTAATGAATATATTTAATTTCAACTTAACAGTACCTGAAGCTCATGCAAATTGATATGATGATGTTGAGCTTGGTGTGGATATTGGGGCGTAGGTGTTGGTGCCACACTGTCCGTGTCCCTTTCCGGTATCATATGAACCATATTATGTGATTTTGAAGGTGGTAATTCTGAGCTATCCTTGGCATACGGCGGAGAGAAAATTTCTCGTGTACCACCTCCGGGTCTAAAGTCAACCCGAGAAAGGTAAAATAATTTAAATGGTCGACCGGCTACGGAGGAATTCAAACAGAGTGATTACGCCCGATGGTACATTTTTAATTAATGTTAAATGAATAGGGTATTAATATCGTATTTAACTACTCGCAGATATCAAATTGTGAAACTGATAAAATCGTACGGTTTAGCATGTTTGTTCGAGGTACCCATTTGGCTTGCATGTCGTATATCTTTTTGAGGTCAGCATCTCGCGCGGGCCCTGATACCGTTGCCCAACAGTCACAGATAAAGAGGATAAAACAATTAATAAAATAATTGAGAGAGAAAGAAAAATACAGAAACCAAAATAAAACGCTTAAATGCGCATAAAAAGAAAAGGGTAGGTGGTGAAATACGGGAGATTGGTGGTGTGTGACCGCGTAAAGGTATTTTTAAGCAAATGTTGTCTATATAAAATAATAATAAACACTTTATAAATGTGTCCAACGCATATAACGATATGGATTTATTTTTCTTTATTTCCTCATCTTTTTGAGATGAGGATTATTAGGATGAGCAAATCAAACGCTATCGGCTATGAGAAGATTGTTCATACATTTACTCAGTAATTAAACATGATATTTCGATTCAACCATGTTCAATGATTTATTTACCCCCTCAATCTCCATTGCTGTACAAAACTCCAGTCCGCCTTAAATCCGGTCGTATCACCAGGCAATGACCAGTAGTCCTCTAGGAGAGTCTCATCTTCTTCTATCCTGATGATGTCCTTCTTACTGGGAGTGACCTTGATGATTATTTCACTGGTTCCTTCATTATTACGTGTTTCAACATTTTGACAGTCAAGAGTTAAATGTTGAAATTTCTGGTTTGGATGTTCACTGGCTTGTATCACTGACCACGAAGATTGACTCTCGTCAGTTATCATGCTCATCTGTTCATAATCGTGTGCGATATTTGGATTATTATCCCCACAGTAAATAACCACTTTATTTTTACAATTGCTCGTAGGTTTTTCCTCATTATTATTCCAGTTGGGCGTTACCATGCTGAGATTCAGTAAAGGTTTAGGTGGTGCGGGGCGCGTTGGTAGTGGTCCTCGACTTTTGTGCACTCCTAACGATTTGTAGGGGCTCGATAACAGTGCACTCGGACACTTTACTGAACTCCCGACAAACTGCTCCCTAGCTTTTCCATCAAATGTCAGACGAGTTTTGTCCTCAAGCGTCGACATGCTCTCATAGACATCACACTTTGTCGCTTCCTGCCACTCCCTCGACGGTGTACGGTTCACAAATGGTATAGGCCTCCGCAGAATGAAATTCACTGTGTCCGACTGTTTGCCAATGTATGATTCAATTGGTGGCATATCCATTCTGCAACCCTTCAATTCTTTGCACATGTGACAATTGCAATTAGCGCTGGTGCAGGATGAATTTTTCTTTGGCATTATTAACTCATTTCCAGAATTTTAACGAGTTATTATGTGTGAGTACTTGTCATCCATGGCAATCAGTATTGACAAAGAAAGTTACATTGAAATATTCGTTTATTAATGAAACGTAAGTCGTCATTATGTCAATTCACTCGATTTATTTGGAGGGATTTGCGATTAATCCTTTAAGATATTGATAAATTTACAATTTAGAGATAAGTTTTAATGTGGAGAGCCACTTACATTCTCGTTCGGATGTAAACATATGACTGAACTAAGCCTCTTTCGTGACTTCCTGCACATCAACGGGTGAAACGTGTGTACTTCCTCTGTTGGGCATCGCGAGGGGGGTAATGGAAACAACCTCATCCAACAGTATATAGGCGTCTTTTGTTATAAATTCAGTGGTATCATTCATGGAAGAATATAAGCAGCGAGGTGTAGGTCAAGTCCATTAGGGACGAGGGGCTCACTACTCACAGCCCCTAGCCGACGTTAAACGTTTTATTTTTTTGCGAATGAAATTTCATGTTTCCCTCATTGAAAAGACCAAGAGTACCAGTGTTAGTATCAGTGATTTAGGGCTGAACATCCGGTGCTCATCCTACATCCTGCTTCAACTCAACCCCTGCCAACCTCCGTGACAATTTAAAAAGAAGAAAAACAAAGGTAACATCGGAGCAATCGCTGCATTCCCTCCCCCCCCCCTTTTTTTTTTCGCAAATTTCCTGTCAAAAAATTTCGCACATGCTTCATTAGGGATGTGTCTAGTACACTACTTTCATCTCGGTTTGAGCAGGGTTTTAAATGAGTATGTTTGAAAGTTACGTGTTTTGCAATGAATGTCTGGGAACTTTAAGTTGTTGAAAATGTAAAAGTGGAGGATTATCGTGAACTGACAACAATAAACGCTAAACACATATTCAGGCCAATGTGTTTCCCGTGAGTACACATTCACAGCGTCCTCACTCTTTTTCTTCAACTAACGTTTCTCTTCTTAATTTTTTCCAACACATTTTTCGATTTCACAGAGATAAGTCTAGGTACTCCTATTATTCTCCACATCGCACCGCTATTTTTATTTGTTTTTTCGTTGTTATTTGTTTTTTTTTGTTTGTTTGTTTGTTTTTTTTCTAAGCCACCGCTACTGTTCCAGGATTTCAGCATTTTCAGTTTTTAATGATCAACTTTGATGAGAGGGTGAAGAAGAGGTGGAGGGAAGAAAAATGAAAAATTGATTTTATGACTCTGGGTAAGGTTATCGAACCTCCAGGCAGACGGCAATGCGGGGTTACATCAGGCTCCAACTTGGGGACTTTTAACGCCATTTTCATCACTTGTTTTCTTTCTACCTACCTGACCTGCCACAATCAATCCTTCTTATTCGTTCATAGTGTGATTAATTTCGCAAAGCATTATGCCATTTTTCATGGGGTTTTCTTTTTTATCTCTCAGATGGGTATGACATTGGAATGTCATTCAACTTGTCCGACATCGTTCATCGATAGAGAGGTAATTGGTCAGCGCTCGTAATTTTTAACGAGCGCTTCTCCACCTGAAATTTTTTTCGTGGTAATACTTACCTTCGTGGCGTTGGACGAAGAATTTCGTGGCCAGACTCTGGCATACACGCACTCAAGTGATTGGGAGGTGTTACCGCTTGGACCTGCTGTTGCTGAGGCGAAGGACTAGATGCTCCGAGAAACAGCGTTTGGGTATAGGGCTCCATCCCTCATCGTGAATGAAAATAGAAAATTAAAATTTGCGAATTCATGAATAAATGAGGTGGTAATTGAAATTAGTATCGTGCGAATTTTTCACTGAAATGAAAGTTGGTAAAAACTTGAGCCAATTTATAGAGGGGTCTCACACTCAATTAGAACAATATGATGGAGAAGGAAAGTAATTGCAGTAGGTACTTTCACGAGCACCTGGAAGGTCATTAGTGGATATGCACAGGAATAATTACCGGTATCATTAAACGATAGAGATATTATGCTTACCTGACGAAATAATGCTTATTAATAATGGACTATTTAATCAATCATAATAATTTTTCGGGGACGCAGATGCAAGTAATGAGCAATTTCCTTTAACAGCACAAAGTTTTACTTTTTTCACTGACGTTGAGCATTAAACAGGAGTCTAAACAATTTGATAAATTAATGGCCAGAGTAATTTTGACAAGAATCGTGGAGTGTTGGAAAACAAGTTACAAGTTAGTCATTGAAGTATCAGGAGGGAAAATTTTTCTAGCGGAAATGCCATGTACAATATTAATAAAAAAATTGTGGGAGAATATTTTTTCTTAATAGAATTGTAATCACTGCTATTGGATTGAAATTTATCAGTGGCAAATATTAACAGAATGTCCTGGATACGTCAGAAACGTTTTCAGTCACTGCATTCCAAAGGGCTGGCCAACTAAATTTCACGTTGTATGTAGACACAACCACACACTCCTCTCTCTTTATCCCGCGTTGTCGACTGGCCTTTCACTGGCCCCTTCCATATTGAATCCTCAGTGAAGAGCCACTGTGACTATTTTACTCAACACGACCGAACTGAGATTTTTATGTGGAATATCGGATAAACACGACGCCAATAGTTAAATTATTAGTATATTCAGTGAATTATATTTCTGATTAAATCTGAAAGATTTAAGGGAAAGAGAAATCCCGAAGGAAAATAAATAAAGCAATATTTAAATATATGAATATGGAGATAAAAAAATTCTGTGCATACTCCTAATGTTTTAATAAATATAAAAATAAATGATATCACAACGTAATTTTTGTTTAGACTCCCCGATACTAAGAGAATTGCAGTTGGTTCCGTAACATAGCCAATGTCATTTACACTTGTATCATGAAACCGAGTAATAATTAATCAGGTTTAGTAAATCATCAATTATTAATCAATCAGTAATTAAACATTAATACATAATATTTATGGAAATTATAGCCATGCAAAACTATATTGCTATTTGTTAGTAAATAATAAAAAAATATATTTTCTTTTAGCACGCAAAAATTTTCAAAGAAGTAATAATTAAGATTATGCAACAACTCACCTGTTCCATCAAAAATACGAAAAATAATATAGTATTTCCATTTTGTTTCTTCTCACTCACTTTGAAAATCAAATTTACATTCACTTTTGTGTTAAATAACTCATTGTTTTTAACTGTCATTTGAACGGTTATTTGACAAATCAATTTTTTCCCACTTTATTTTAAAATATTGTACAACGATGGAATCAACAAGTTGTTGTGATATATCACGACAGTCTTGAAATGTAGAGTAAATAAAAAGCCATTTTTTACTTGTACAATTTTTTTATGGAATTTTTTATTTACCAATGTTTCAGTGCAGCCGGGAAGAAAGTCACTTTGTGATGGTGCCACCTGTAGTATAAATAGCTAATCGAAGAATGAACTTGACGTTAATTTGCAAAAATTGATTTGCAACCAGGAGACACGGCTCGTCCCTTTTTGGGGGCGGTCAATTACTGACGACAGCGGCACAGTTTGCACAGCATCTTTCTTTCTGGGTCCACTGGAAAGACTGGAGGGGATAGATTGTGAGAAAGAAGATAGATGAGGTTGGAGAAGTACGACTGTATGAACGCAGCTTTAGCAGAGAAGATGCCGCAACAGAATATGCATTTTGAATAACTCGAAAACGAAATATTTCAACCATCCTATTAACAAATATTTTTTTCCATTTTAGTGGAGTTGAAATTGTTAATTCATTACGAATCGTCGGTCGCTCCGTAACTCAGATCTGTTCACTGCTCCCGGGAATTCCCATTATTGCGAGAGTGGTGAATTTTTTTTGAAATTTTTCAAGTGGAAATTTTTCAAAATATGAAAAAATTAAAAATCACTGCACGAGGGCTCCTTTTCCCCCATTTCGGATCTGCGGTCGATCCGCAACTCATATCTGTTCACTGCTCCCGGGAATTCCCATTATTGCGAGAGTGGTGAATTTTTTTTGAAATTTTTCAAGTGGAAATTTTTCAAAATATGAAAAAATTAAAAATCACTCCACGAGGGCCCCTTCTCCCCCATTTCGGATCTGCGGTCGATCCACAACTCAGATCTGTTCACTGCTCCCGGGAATTCCCATTATTGCGAGAGTGGTGAATTTTTTTGAAATTTTTCAGTCCAATTAACTCACAAATAGAAAAAAATTGGGAGAGGTACTACAATGCCAGTGGGGTGACTAAAACTCCCAAAACTGAGCCTCTCTTTTAGTTAATCCTCTTTGATTTCGAACAAATTCGGGGCGGGAAATTTCGAATGAAAAACACATGACTTCTGTTTGTTCGATTTAATTTCATAGTTCTACAGCTGCGTACAAATTCATCGGTAACATTCAATCAATTCATCGTTAATCATTAAGATGGAAATATTAAATCACTGCTTAATTGGCAAAAAAACGTAATAAACAATAGAAAATAACGTAACTATCTACTCAAAGGAGTTCTGTCTAACTTGGAACACATGATTGAGTGGCGAGAATTGGGAATACTGGTTACGTGTGGGTGTCGTCTCCACCTTGATATCACAACGAAGGATCACGACACCTGAGGGATTCACTTTGACCTTGATTTTCCTCTTGGGTTCAAGAACACCGTAGTATACGTCCTCATACAGATCCTGCAACCCCAGCAATTACAGAGAATAAAATAAAATACCATGGTTATTACAATGACCAATTCAAGAATCAAATGGTAACTGGAATATTTCGGAATTGCTGTGAAATAGCAAAATTTTTGTTGAACAGCGATTAAAAAAAATATCTCACCTCAACTTTGTAACCTTTCTTGTACTGTAATCCCAATTGCTCCAGCGTAACCGACACATCCGAGGGTGTGCCATCAGTTCTTCTATTCACGAATGCAATAGCGTAAGAGTAATAATTCTGCTCTACTGGAGTTATTGGCCTAGCCCAAATTTCGATGCCTTTGTGCTGAAATGTTCATTATAAATCGATCAACAATGAATATTTGGATATTTATATTTGAAGAATATCAATTTTTATTGATAATTCATCGAACCTTGTAGATCCTCCGTCCTTGGATACCCAAAGGATCCTGGTTCACAGCGATAATTTTCCTGTTTTGCAGGATCGCTTTGAATTCTGGCCTGATTGTTCTCAGATCCACTGACATCAGCAGTGGTGCCGCAAAGATCGCCCAGAGGGCCATCTGCGTTTTACTCTGCTCGTAACTCAGCCCGAAATTTCCAATTATCAGCATGTCCGGGTCATTCCAGTGGCCTGGACCGGCATTTGGCACGATACTGTCCTGATTATCACCATAGTAGTCAATTATCGTCTCGATGCTCGACCAGGAGTCCTGAATGTCATTGTAGTTTCTCCACAGATTGCAGTGCTTGATTATACTCGTCCAATTTGGCTGGAATGGTAATTTTTTATAATTATGAAATGCTCTCTTCCCGCTATTATTATTGGACAGATGATCTAGAAAAATGTGTGAACAAACGTTCTCTCCAGATGGGACACTTTCCACCGAAAAATATCTGATCATTTCTCCTACAATTACTCATTACTTCAGTAACAATGATGAATATTCTCACTCCACTTGTGATTCCATATCTGTGGTGCAAATTTTTTTCTATTCGTGAGAAATCTTTTCCTTGAAAAATGTCGTTTGAAAATATCTCGTGACTCGATTTCTGATTGTATATCTTTAATGAATCATTCATTGTTTCATTTAAATCGTTGCATGAAAAGATGCAAGTTTTTCTGCAGCTGAGAGAATTATCAATAAACAATCCAACAATCATTCACCCAATTAACGGATTTATTTTCTTTCAGTGACTTCATTTCTATTTCATTTTAATGAGTTCACTTACATTTATTCCTGCATAAATTTGATAAACTGGCCAGCTGCAGGAATAAACCATATTTCGTCCAGTGCGATTCATGAAATATCCGAATTCAGGATAACCTGAGGAGATGAATGAAATATGATTGATGTCAATGTTTTTTCCATTATTTTCCTGGCATTGTGCGAATGGCGAATAATCATGCAATCATTTATAATGGTTTTATGAAAGAACAATCGAAATGGATAAAAAAAAAATTACCTTTGTCCATGTCAAACGCATCGGCATAACATCCATCTAATTTGACATAATCAACTTCCCACGATGCGAACATGCTTGCATCTCTCTCCATATGTGCAATACTCCCGGGATATCCGCCACAAGTGTAATTGCCATAGTCCCCGTAAATACCGAACTTGAGTCCATTCGAGTGAATCTGAATCAATTTTACTCCATTGCATCACCAAATTCATCATAATAACCATTCCTCCACTCTTGATTTATCCATAATGAATTTTATAATTCATGGAAACTATGGGAATAATGTGAAAATCATGTGAGAACATGCACTTATAATTGTCGTAAATCACTCCTCAAATTAGAATGTGAGAAAACTCCTGAGGCGTGGGGATAGGGCTGGAATTATTATTTTTTATTGACAGCGCACGGGATATTGAAAATTTTCATTTGTACCAAAGTAACAGCCTCCAAGAAAAATTTTACTCACGTCCCAAGAAATCGTGAGTAAATCATGCACGCAAAAAAAGAAAGTTAAGGAGTTCCCTCGCTCGTGAAAGAGCCCAAACTGCGTATTAATTTTTAACGAGCTGATTTGACCATTAACTTCAATGTTTTTAATTTATTCCTGAATTTTTCGCAACAAAAAAAAAATCACGCAGTATAATTCATTGGAAAATTCAAGTCAATCGCGGATTTTCATTGAAACGTGAATATTATTTACTAAATTTAATAACTCTGAGTTTTTAAAAATGTTTTACTAATTGTTATGGAATATTGGATTGAAATTTCGGGGGGGTTTGGGTGGGTGTACGTTTTAATAAAAATATCCAATGCTTGAAAATAAAATAAAAAAATGCACTTCTTCCTCTTTGGAATGGGAATGATGATTTGGAAAGATAAGGATTTAATTATGAGACATCGAAAAAGCAGAAAGGTTGAACGAAAGAAATGAAACATGAAGTATGTGGAAAGAAAGTGAAGGTGAACGGGAGTATGGGGGGATACAAGAGCTGTAAACTGGAAGTTCCGGATGGAGCAGGATGATCTTACATAATCACCGAGATCCTTGAGACCATAGGGGAATCTGTTGCGATCTGGAACGAGATTATTGCCTGTGTCCCGGTACTTTTCCGACCAGCAGTCGTCGATATTGACGTACTCGTAACCGAGATCGGCATAGCCCTCTGTCACCAGGATATCCGCCATGGTCCTGAAGAGCTGATCGCTTCAGGGTGAACAGAACAATTTTATTAATATACAGTGATGGCACACCCAAGGACGACAAATAAATAATTATCACTGCCAGTTTCGTCGAGAGGAAAGCTAAAGCTCTCCAATTAAAATATTTCGTTTCCTGTTTTCACCATCTTTTATGAATCTGTAATGAACCCAGTCGTCACCATTCGGATAAGAGTGATGAAATGACAAAATCACGAGTTGTTTATGAATCTATAAAGCGCAGTCGTGCACAAACAGCAGTAAATCTCTCACCGATTCTATTATTTTCAACCTGTTGGGAAATTAACGTTCAACTTCCAGGGGAAAAATCAAAATCTTCCCTGAGTAAATCAATTCCATACTCAGATAAAAAAATCAATTCCAAAAACTTCGCATTCTATCTTTTACTTCTATACAGCGGCTTTATTCTCGTCTAGGAAAATTATTTCGAAAGGAAAAAATCAGGGAAAATTGCGTGATTTCCTGGCTGTCATCACCATTTCGATATTCATTGTCTATTCTAGAGTGATCCCAGGGTGAATGTATCACGTAGCTCTGAGAAAGTCCCGGAGAAATGGGAGTGTCATCTACTTTTCCTTTTTTCATTAAAAATCATTTCGTTACTCAATATTATAATTTCTCCTGATAACTGCCTGTTTTTATTTGCTATACTTCTGGCGGAAATTTCAAGTGTCGTATCGAAACAGGTCTATCTTATCGTGATAAAATAAACGCGAGTGTCGATTTTTTGTCACGATTCCAAATACGGTAACTAAGAAAATCTACATCGTCTTTGTTTAGAATGCTGGTCGTCGAACTCTCCACTCACTAGACTATTTACCATCGGCAAACACTGGAAACTGCCAAGGTTTTAAGACCGCAATCTGTGGTACTATCGGTCAATTCCGTCTGTCCGCAATAATAAACTAGCAATTACCGGTCGAACCTAAGTATCTTTGAACCAGAGGAAACCCCTCCGAAATCGAGATATAACTAAACCACTTTTCGCAAAAAAATATCTCGGAAAGTGAGGACCACACTAATTCCTTCTAAACAGAACCTCCCTATTTGTTTCATGACCCCAGATTGAAGTCTGTAATTTAAAATATTTTTCTCGACACAAGACATAAAATTCCTATAAGAGAAAAACCTTTGGAAAGGCGAAATCGACTTATTTACTATTTCTCTGGTGAATGAAGAAACGCGATTGTGGTGTCCGGACATTCCAACGCCTTGAGCTTGAATCTTCGAGAGCAAAACCATCTACAGCATCCGCAATTAATCAGAAATATTCGACAAAAAGTTTGATGCCTCTCATAGCTGAAGCTCACAATAAAATCTTCAATCATTTTCGAGGTCTCATGACTAACATTATCTCGTCAACAACTTTATGAAAATTCAGAACGGTAGAACAATGGGATGAATCAAGATGACTATAATTCCCGAGAGCGACTTTTCACCTTGAATTTATTACATCGCCTTTTAATTTCAAATCCATTAACTCCCAACGGAATTTCCTCTCTTAAAAAAAAAGACAAATCCAATCAAACGTTTTGTCTACTATTAAAGTCTACTATTTTTCATATTCAATGCAATATTGAATGCATTGGTTTGATCATTTTTTCGCTGAGCTGTTGATAAATCATTCAAAGTGAAATTCTCATCTTTTTAGTATTAATGAATTCATGTATAATTTTTATCGCCTCAAGTATTTTGGGAGCAAATTAACATTTTTCTCTTCATTATCGATTTATCTCGAAAACTATCGATTCAAGGTGAAAACGTTGAAGGACTTTTTATTGTAGCTGATTAAATTTCCAACAAAGGTTTGTTGATATTGCCTTTTAAAATCGAGAGATTGGGTAATAAAATCATATTAAATAGAATGATTGAGAAAAAAAATGGTCCGATGAGGTCAACACTCAAAAAATCCAAACGAAGGTGCATCGGTGCGTTTGTCACAAAATCCACGTGCATTAACACTTGGCATTTACACACCCTCGAAGCCCATAAATATCGAGATTAGCCGCTACTTCGAGCATGAAAAGAATGCTTTCGATCGGACCAGACAATGTGGCTTTAAAAAAAAATTACTTATAAAGTCCACGCGAGCTCTTTAAACCCGCGAAAGTGAAAACTAACAAATACACACTGACCCACATAAACAGTGAACCTCAGTAAATCATCCAAGGCTGCAAAGAGTGAACTTGAAATGTCCAAAACGGTGAGGCAATTATCATCAATAAAAAAAAGTAAAAGTCTCCTTGGTTTAATTAACATTAACGAGAGGCATCATATTTAATTGTAGCAAGCGCCAAGATGAACGATAATATAATGAGAACGAGAAATAACTCTCCAAGTGAGTGAGTATTGATAAAAAAAAAAAGGTGAATGGGAAAGTGGTAAACGAAAACTCACCTTATACAATTATCAGGATCATTCTTGCAGTCGGTGTTGCACCTAAATCTTTCCCACGCCAACCATCCCATGGGAGGAGTCCTGGCAAGGTCATTCTCTAGAGAAAAACAGGGAGCAACGAGTACTACCAAGAATATCCAGTTGATGATCATCCTGGTGAGTGACCACTGCAAAACAGAGTTGTCCACTTTTGAAAAAATCCTTGAAACAGTCGGTGGATGCTTTTCAACTCTTCAGGTTGAGTTGAACTAATCGACTGGCTGCATAGCTGAGTGAACTGAATTATAAATAAAGCCTCCTAGCAACAATCAGCGTGGGATGGCCACCGGACAAGCAGATAATACCACTGAGATCAATCACAGTCTCAATCATTGATTGGAGTATCAAAATGAAAAATGGTAAACACCGATTTATGATGATGTATTAAGTTGAGATGAATAATGCTCTGCTGACCATCTCGACACAAGTGTTGAGACCAGACTGATCTGCAATAAGAGACTCCAACCGGTGTTTGAAGTCACAGGCCGAGAAGTACTTTCACCCAATGCCCCATTTCATTTTTGCATTGGCTAGCTCACTCACCATCTGGTAATAGTAGTTGTCATAAGTTTCCCTCCTACCAACACATCCATTATCTCCATGTGGAAAAATATATTGAAAATACAAACAGCGAAGGTGGGGCCTTCTCCTTTCCCATTCACAAGATCATTTCACGCCCACAAAGTACAACAACAGTGAGACATTAGGTGCTATTTCTCGGGGGGATCAGCCTTTGTTTGGACAGGGCATTTTCAAGATACTCTGGGGCACGAGTTTGACTCGTTATGAAATTATCTGTGGGAATTTTAGCCTGTTATTGTACTCTTCATGCTTCATAACCGTGTAATTGCGCTCTACGAATCCTTTTGCAGGTGGATATTCAAAATGAGATTTAAAAAAAAATGCCGCCATTTTTTCATCCTTTTTTATCGTCGCTGATCACTGTTTTTTGTTGATTCAATTGTTGTTTATGTCTGTCAAATTTGATTGATGTGGAATTTAATTTTTTCAAGATGAAAACATTATTAAACTTCTTGTCACAAACAATTCGACTGACGTAAATATTTTTTTATGGGTTTTTAAAAAATATTCCTAACTCACGAATAAATTGGTCAATTGAACTCAATCTGAGCTCATTATAAAGAGAAAGAGGTTTACTGATCGCGGAAAAATATAATGCCATTTCATGAACAATTGAATAAGGTTTCAGCATTGAAAAAAGTTCATGGAATTCGGAGTTTCACAATGTTCATCACTTTACAAATGAGAATGAATATTCAGGGCCGAATTATCCCAAAATTTTGAAAAATATTTTCTCAAGATTAAAATGATTTCCATTAACTTTCACGAATTGATAAAATTAACATTTCCCATTCCCGTAAATTTCCCCATGAATCTTTTCAATTATTTTCTTAATGAGAAAATTTGATTGCACAATTTATAAAACTTGCACTGAATTGTTAATAGAGTTATCGGGAATTATCTTGCACCTTGATCCCTTGCATGATGCATTGATTTTATTTATTTCGGGGCCATCACAATATCTCCCGAGATGATTGATTGGGTGGAATTAATTACCTTTCGTGCTTCCCTGGATTATCCGATATGCAGGATAATTATCGTTTTCCTATCGAAAGTATTTTTCGCAAAATAAGAATTCAAAATAATCAACAAAAATTCACTTGGCGATTACTTTGCCAAGTGGTGTCTTAAATTGGCACGAGATATGACGGTTGTTTGTTTAAAGGTTACAAGGAGATAAGATCGGCAATATAGGAATTCGCTAATCAAGGGATTGGAATTTGAACAGTTCAATCAGCAGGTGAATAATTTAGGAAGGACTTGCTTCATTTTTATTACCCAATACGTAACCGATTTGAAGAATAAATGAATAATAATTTGCATATCAGCGCGATATTTCATTTAACAATTTCATTCAACAAAATAAAATTCTTCAGACAACAATCAACCATAAATTGCAAATACTTAAGGCATAATTCATCGATTAAATTATCAATTCATTGATTTGATTACCTCGAGAGAAAGATATTAATCGATAGTAAATTTACCTGCGAATCGAATGAAAAATGCGGAAAAACACTTGCGCAGTCTTCAAGTGGATCCAACTATCAATTACAAGCACTTGTTGCTTATATAGCGCATAATTTCATTATCAGTCTGTTTTTTACGCTGCAATCTGCCCGATAAAATCATGGAAATTGCTAGCGGTGAGATAAAGTCAGACGAAAAAAAAAATCAGTCGACGCCAGTTGCAATTTCACGCTCAACTTTTCCGATAATCTCGTTCTTCAATCAATCAGTAATTTACCCAGTAGAAATTTTAATTGATTATGCGGTTATCAGTTGAAATATTGATATTACTGTCAAGATGTGGGTTTGATGAGTATTGAGACTATTGAAAATATTGAATTTGCTGGAGAATTCGGAAAAATGTAAAGAAAAAGGAGTGATTTGTGGTATTACGTTATTCCCTCCTGTTTCTCGTAATTCCTCCCACCTCCTAACTCTGCACCACATTACAGAGGTTACATATATACTAGGCGTTTGTGAACACGATGCAAGATAGTGAAAGTCACTTGGATATTCCTTGGAGTAGCCTTTAGCCTCTAACGGTATTATTATAACTTGTGCAGCTCCTGCCTAGTCTTATGCCACAACTATCTATCCACAAATGTCGAGGCATTCGCACAAACTATCGACAAACTTGGAGGCTAAATATTTGAGAATAATTCCTCAACAGAGAATAACTCAAACACCACCAGAATATGTAATCTTAAAAAATTCACGTCCAATTCGCTCAATTTATTGGATACTCTATTTATTTATGGAGTATGACTTTAATTTATTTATTAAAAATCTTGTAAGTGCGACGAAAATTTAATTTATGAATGAAAAATCACAGGATTTTAAGGGGCATTTAAAGGTGGGAGGTCTCGCACCCCCAGTTCATTGTCATAACTCATGTCTCGATGTGAAATTGACGGGAACATGGGGGTGGTGACGTCATACCGACGAAGGCGACGATGAGTGCGCCACGTCGTCGTCGACGAGTAATTTTGCCGACTCTCTCTGACTTGGTATCGCGGAAGCGCCCTTAAAATCGTCTAAAAATAGACAAACCGTCGGAAGGACGTAGATGGTCACGTGGTAGAACACTGGGGTACCTCCTGGCAGGATCACCCTCTCGTTTACGTCATCCACCCACTCCAACCCTCCTGTCCCCTTCGTACACATACCACCCACTTCCTCATCACCTCCTTCTTCCTCAATATGAAAATCCGCCATTATTATTTTTCCATTCCCTTCGTCGTTCTTCTCTTCCATATCATTTTTTTTTTCAAGTACTTTTGGAAAATCCTGTTTTGCGAATATAAAATAAAAGAGGGTGGAATGGGGAGGAAAGAGGAAGGGGTTGATATTTCCACTCCCGAAGAGGGAAAAAAAATGTGAACGAAGACGTGTTGTAAAAGGAGGGAGGGAGAGAGATGGGTCAACCATCGCCCGAAGGGTGAATTGTCGTACATATTTTTTCGCCACGAGCTCGAGGGGATGCCGTGACAAGGCGAACCAATGGGAACCAATGGCAATCTCACCCTTTCCATTCAAGATGGCGCCACAAATCGCTCAAGTTTGTACTTTACCCACCCCCACCTGCGGTCATTCTGTACTCTCGAGTGCTACCCCTCGGATCCCTCCAACCCCTTGCGAAAATCCGCCGCAGAGCTGCGCTCCCTCAGAGTGCTGTAGACGTCGTGGCAACCTCACCTTTCTCCGTTCATCAATTTCATCAAAAAAAAAAAGAAAGAAAAATCCAAAAAACCACTCATTATTTATCCAACACCAACAGTTTACCCCCAACAATCATCCCCCTATCTAAAAATCAATTATTTCAACACTGTGCAGTAGTGAGTGCAAATAAACAATTCATTAAATATTTTAAAAAAAAATTGGGGATTGAATCGAGTATGGAGGTGGTGGGGGTGATGTCATCGTTTATATTTTCGTGGAATTGCTGTCATTTCCACAGAGAATCATCACCTGGAGTGTAAAAATGAGGGCTGCAGCAGTATCATGACCACTGTGAGTAAATAAACCTCCTAGAACCCTCTGGAACGTCAATTAATGTCGTCTCACCTGGGGAACATAGTGAAAAAAATATCCAGGGCTACATTTTGTTTAATTTCATTTTTATTATTAATATTTTTCTGGGGGGATCTCTGCATGGAGTGCTCTAATCCAGCATGAATGAGCAATGGCGGCGCAGAGACACTAAACTTCTCGTAACAGTAAACTCGATCTTCTTGGTATCTGTGTACATGTCTCACTTGTATGGATATTGTGGGCGGTTGGTAATGGAGGTAATGGAGGGGTGGAAACGCGTCAGCAGTGAGGGGTGAGGGGGTGGGTTTGGAAAAGAGAGTGTATATAGATAACCAATCGTTCCATTGATCTGTTGCCTCGATGACCTATGCCATATGCGTTCCATTGGGGACGAGCTTTACTATCCCCTCTTCACTACTATTCTTTTTACCCTCTTTTTTTAAAAAGAAAACTTTTCGTTAATACAAATGAGAATTCACGAACGGGGTATAGACCGGTGCAAGTGACCTCGAGGGTTATACTACTTACGTGGCACTTGGAGCGATCATTCAAATTGTTCGGGTTGTGTTCACATTTTTACGTTTTCTCTTGATCGATTTTTTTGAGGTACTGCATTTGCTGAATTATTGATTTTATCAGGAAATATATCTAAACCTTTCTTCACGATTTTTTGATTAGCTAGAAAAAAGTCTTTTGACGTTTTACTCTTCAATTGAATGATTGCGAGATAAATTGCGAATTCAGGAGAATGATATAATCATTTGCTGGAAAAGGGAAATTTTTCAGTTTTGTGATGATATCAGTGCGAGTCGATATTTTTCGAGATAAATCGATATTTAGGCAAGCGCTCACTTTTTGCTGTTCTATCGGTTTAATTTGGTGTTGGGATTTTTTGAATGCCACGGAAATTGAACCGACTCATCCATCGGATGTAGTATTATTCGGGTGTAGTATATTTTAACTAGGGCGACTGCGGATAAATCGATACGTGCTACTTTCATTCATGGCTGCCTCCCTCACGCGCGCCAGTCACGTTTCCTATCTCACCACCTCCTCCCCCGCACCCCATAATCAACACATCGACCCCAAAATTGCATCAGATATCGTTCCCAGTGATTTCTAACCGGTCCATCACTTTTCTCTCCACAACCCGACTCCAAACATCCAACGCTAAATTATCGAGTTGTACATCACCGGACATGTGACCCGTCCAATTTATTTATTTATTACTTTTTCAACTTTCCCCGAGGGAGATTCGATATTTTTCACTATCCATGTTTTTCAGAATTTCACGTCTGACTAAATCGGTACGTTACTACTGGAACTTGAAATTCATCAAAGAATTACATTCTTGAAAAATTTTTCTCCCAGTGCAAGAAATTGTTTGAGTATATTTCAATGGTTTTTAAGCGTTTCGCAATTTCTCTTTATTCTACTCAATCTGGGATAATAAGAGATATAATCAGAGCCAGTTCCATCCGTTCAAATAATACCAGAAAGTTTTCTATATATAGAGAGATTTCTATTCAAGAGTTTCTGAAAAAGGCTGTGGATCTCGTCCTCCTGGAGAAGCCCAGACAAAGATGGGAATAACGAAAAAATGTGGCGAAACACCGATGAAAAGGAAAAAATGGAGATATCTTTTCTCTCCAATATTTCTTTTTCCTCATCAGAGAAGATGCAAATGAATGTGGGGGGGGGAAAAAAATTGAGTAGAAAAAGGGAGTTGCAGTGCGACCTTCGGAATTACACAGCTGCATTTATGGTATTCAATCTGGATTTCTGGGGTGTCATTACGAGATGATAAAGCCTATAATTATCTACTAATTCCCAATATTTTTTTTCGAAACATTTCAAATATTCCAACTTTAGAAAAAAAAATGGATTCAAAATTGAAAATTGAAATAAAAATATGTGCATGCAACCCCACACTCCCCCAGATCGGAAAATAAAAGCATTGTCAGTAGTAAATAAATGAGTTATCTAGAAAATGCAGCTCGGAAAATGCCTCTAAATACGACGTAAAAAGTCCATTCCAGAAAAATTGGATTAAATCCCGCGTCAATAGTAGCCCACGCTCCAATTTTATATTTCCAAAGTTCATCCTCATCTCAATGGAAGTAAAAAAAAATGCTCGACTCCCAGGACTGGGGCTGATAACCATTGATTGAGTTTAAAGCCCTTCAGGAGTATTCCCTACCTACTGGCATTACAAAACAATATGCAGGAGTCGACATAAATGGCTTTCTCTGACTTGAATGCACCGCAAATGAGGACTAGCATTGGCTCGACCCTGTGAAATGCCATGCAACCCTGACCCGCGTCTACGCGGTCTCATCATCGTTCAAAGCCACACGACAACGACCATCTTCGGCTCATTCGTTAATCCGTTTCCCCTTGACATCCTCAAATATCCCCAGGACAATGAAAAGAATTTTCCCTCACACTGAGATTCAACCATTGTCATTCATTTATTCTCAACCATCCGCGTGGGCGACTCCTGGGGAAAAGCTTGCGTCCACTATAACTAATGGAGTTCTAGCTGATAACGCAACAGAGCACTATTCTCCTTGATAACCATTTTATGAAGAATGCGGAATGTCAGAATGTCAATTTCCAGAATAATGGCCGTTTAAAAAATACTTTTCAATTTTAAAATTTATTTTCTTTTACAATTCCACGAAATAGGGAGTTGAGTTGCACTGGCTAGTGAGAAGGAAGATAAATTTGAGGAAGGATACATAGAGATTGAATGAATCAATTGAATTGACATCGAACATCTCCGGAGAAACTGAGATAACGAAATTTTCCATGGGCTGTGTTGGAGGGATAACAAAATTATCGACGGGAAATGAGGTGGAGCTTGAATTATGGTGGACGACCTTTCAAGCTATTCTCCCCACTGATTTTCTAGCTATTTTACGCTGTCGCTGGCAGGAAATCCTCTTCAATCCGGGCTAATATTCCAGTGTCGCCTCCAACCATGGAATATTATCAAATAAAGCACCCGGACGAATATTTTCTTTTCCATTCCATTGGTCTGAGTACCGAGGGAAAATCATCGCCAATGAGAATCTGGAAATGAATCCTAAGATATTCATCAATTTGGAAGACAGCCAAAAGCTGAGCCAAATGTTCGTAATGACATTTATTTTATGTTCCATCGTGTTCTTGAAAAAGCCTTGCCCTCGAAGAGACCATCTCCGACTCAATGTGAATGTAATTCAAAGTTATGATAAATATTGCTGAAGTCGAGGGAGACCAACAGATTTTCATAACGACCTCTTTGATGGAAAGCTCTTCCCAAGACTTCCGCAATTTCTTGTGGGCCAAGGGAAAACCACAGGGTTCAAAATTCTCCCCGAAGAATGAAGTGATAAATTGTCCGGTTATCCAGAATTTCTCCACAATCCTCACATAAAATTTTCCCGTAATTATCAATCTCCAGTGAAAATAGCCTGGGCTTTAGCAATAAACAGTATAAAAAAAAATGTAGAATAGTGGAATTGTGGAATAATCCCCACAACTCTAGAGGATTTCTCAATCAGACTACACGTGGTAGGATGCGGTTAAATTAGTTAAACTGGCACACAGTGTAACCCAGTTATGTGAAAGGGAATATATTGAATATATTCAGGGCGCAGTCGCTGGGCCGAACACAATATACAGCAAACGACAGGACGCATCATCGTTCCACTGTATGTGAAAAGGTGGGAGGACAGGGGGTTGAAGAGCTGAGGGTTGTTGTGGGAGGGCTTTGATGAGAAACCCAACGGTCCATCCACCTGTTTGCCTTAGTAGACCGCCACACGTTCCATCATCATCAACAATACCATAAAAATTCCACACACCAAATTATTCATCATCTTCCATTCACCCTACTGTTATCAATGTTATGTCGACAAGTGTAAGTCTACCACACATCTTTACTCACTCGACTTTTGTCTTCACAATCTGGAGAAGCATCATCGGAGGTGATGAAACACTAATTGGGGTCGACTGCACTTCAATGCTCTACACTCTGGATAATTAATAACTTCAGGTGTATTCAGGTGTCTTCAGGTGTCTTCAGGCTTCAGGCTCAAATTAATTAGTCAAGGTCAACTGGATGGAAGTTTAAAGTTTATGCGGTTGAGAACTGGGAGAAAAATTGTGTGACTGAATTTATTTATTTGGGAACAATAGTGGAGATTGTTTGAGACAGTTTGGAGATTTAATGGAGCTCAATCAGTGATAAGAGAGGGGGAGTTATTGATGGATAAGAAGAGAGTGGTGGATCTGATTCTATTCCTGGATGTTTGCCAGGTTTATCTCCAGACGCGTAAGAAAAGCTCGAAAAATCTCTGCACCCTGTGGGCTATTGTGACTTTTGTCAGGGATGAGGACTCGGATGAGTTTCTTCGGTGGTGTCAGGAGTACAACGTGAGACACTTGAGGGAAAGAGAGGAAAATACGAGGGCTCCACAAGCCCACAATGGATCCTCCAGTGGGGAAAAAATTCGTATGGAAATACGTGTACTCAGAGTACTACAGGAATTGTTCTACTGCGGATGCCTTCCAGGAAATATTCATGTTTGAGGTTTTGAGAGATTCTTCAGATTTATATAGACAACCATTCACCCATCGATTCACATTGTCTTTTTTACACTTTAAAACCCATCCATCTAGGATAATCGAATGGAATGCAATTTTTGGGTGAAATAGTATCATTATTGTGGCATTGATTTCAGGAGTCTGGCCACACTTGTGGATGAGGCCAAGCCACCTTGGAGCGGTGAGTGATGTCTGAGAGCGACGGAGAGCAGGCGGCTAGGTCTATGGCCTTGGAGCAGGCGTACGTCCACGAGGTTTACGAACAATGCGCTGAAAAGACTGCACAGAGCAGGCACTGGCCGCGAATATACAAATTTCTCGAGGAACTCGAGCCCGGGGCGCTCGTCTGCGACATAGGTAATCATCACCATGACCTTTTCCATGAAGCCTAGATATTGATATTCATTGATCAATCAATTTAAGTGGTCTCGTCATTGTCATTACCCCTCAATTTTTCATTTCCCCCCAAAACAAGTTTGCATTGTAGTTTGTGGAGGAAGTGCACCATTTTCGTGCCTTCCTTTTATTTTTCGTGGGTATTACCACACCAACATCAAACGGTAGATCGATAATTGACCTCCGGATGCATAGAGATGGGCAAAAAAACCCAGTGGAAAAGAGGGAAAAAAAAGAGAAGGGCTGGGGAAAAAAGGAGAGGCTCTCCCGCGGGGTGCATGGGAAGATTACACTGGCACTCGAATTTTTCTCACAATGAAATCGATTCGCTCCGGTGGTGCGCGTCCATAACACTCAAATATACTAGGTGGCCCATTGAGGATATCATTACTTTCCATTCGATATTGATTTGGCTCGAAGAATAATAACTCTATTCGTAGAATTGTACTTTTCCGTTAATTTCACCGTTAAACTGAGCACAGTGATATTTATCCGTGAGGTACTCGTCGAAATTTACTTGTTACACCAATTTATCGATTTAAGAAGTTTCCCTCAAAATTCCAATCGTCAATTTCGATTATGAAAAATATTTTTTTATCCTGTCCCGTGACGGCACTGAATTAATTAATGTAAATTAATGAATGTTTCACCTTGGGGGCAAAAACAGGTTGTGGAAATGGCAAGTATCTCAGCGTCAACAATAACATCTTCAAAATCGGCGGTGACAGATGCAAACGTTTAACGGACATTGCGAGAGAGAAGGAAAACGAGGTGCTAATATGCGACAATCTCTCGCTACCATTTCGGGACGAGAGTTTCGATGCTGTTCTCTCGATAGCAGTGGTCCATCACTTTGCAACGACAGAGAGGCGTGTAAATGCCTTGAAAGAGCTTGCCCGTGTCCTGAGAATCGGTGGCAAATTGGTGATATCGGTATGGGCTATGGAACAGCGTCACAGAAAATTCGAGTCCCAGGATGTCCTGGTACCCTGGCCCAAAGCCTACTGCCTCAATTCATCGTGCCACTGTGGTGCATCAGGTGTTCCATGTTCCACCCAGACACGCAGGGATCATCCACCGAAGTGTGTCCTGAGATCCAAGAGATCGACGGATCGACAGAAGTGTAGGAATAAAAGTTATTGGATTGATCCAATATTCAGCCCCTCACCATCAACCAGCAGTTTATCCAGCCCCAATGAGACGTGTTACAGTTTCTTTCGTCGCGCTCTTCAGGTCAATAAAAATTGCCTTTTCCATTAATCGAAATTAAATTATCAATCATTCCTCTCTTATATTTTTAGAAATATCAGGAAAATTTAATGGCAAAGTCAAGGGCTTCAATTATTTCACAGGATTTATTCTCGTTAATTGAATTATATCATGATATTTTATTCGAATGATTCCATACGAATGAATTCCGAAATTTGCAGAAATTGGCAGGTGGCAAGAGAGGTTCGGGCAGTCGTCCCTGGTTCCTGGAGAGTTTTCAAAACGGGGGCTGCAAAAATCGCCACCACCACTTCGAGTCCGACGAGTGCGCTGACGCCGATGACATTCCCATTGAGCTCCGTCGTCTCGATGACGACAATCCTACCATCACCAAGCCAACCGACACTCTGAGCATGAAGTCAAAGAGCCTGGGGGATATCCTCGAGGTCCAGCATCTCGATCTCGTGAGATCGCGATCGAGTATCCCCGGATTGTGCTCAACAGTTACATCCGAGCTCAATCTCACTGACCAATCGGCGACACCACCCCTTGCACCCTACAAGCCACGATTGGTCAAGCAGAAGACGCACTTGATGGATGATACGTGTCTGGAGATCCCTGAGAACACTGCCATACAAGAACTTGTCAAGGATCTTCCAGAGTTACCGTCAATCGTAATTACCTCTTCTCTTCCTATCGAAATTCATATCCCCACAGAAAATTATTGATTACACAAAAAGAATATTATGCAACATTTTTCCATAGAAAATTGAATGAAAACAAAAAATTAATTCCAGGTTTGGTTTGACATCTACTTTGGAATTTTTTGAATTTTTGAAAAATTTAACGAAAAAAAGGCCACTTGACATTTCCTCTCAAACCGCCAATATTGCCTAATTATTCTCCGTCGCCACCGCTTTAATTACCGAGTTAATGACATCCATTTGCAGGAGCCGTCAACCCTCGCAAAACGCCCCAACGTCCACAAACAGAGTTCAATGAACGAGGAATTGATGTCGATGGAGCGACTGATGGAGCGTGAACGTGTACGTGGTAACATAATGAAACAGGCATCCCTCAACGAGGAAATAATTTGCAAGCACCCGACCTTGGAGCACTTTCGAGACTCCCTGTCCTCGAATACAGCGAGCCGACGATTTCAACTCCTGAAAAGTGGCCTTACGAGTCGCCTGAAGCAATCAACAACGAGCATGGAGAAGGTGACGACCCTGTCCATAAAAAATGGCTTCGTAAAAATGCTGCAGAGCTGGAAGTCCTCGGACTCTAACCCCGAGGAGACAGAGACAAGTGCGGAGGCAGTGAAAAACAAACTGAATGAAAAAATCGTCCAGCCAATTGCCAACGTGAAACAAAAAGAGACTAGTACAATCGAGAGGCGATTATCCAAGGAGGATGGCTCCGACTCCTCGAAGGACAGCAGTTTGCAGAGTGACACTAGTGTTGATTCAGAGGACAGCTTTGCCTCTGTCATCTACGTGCCAAAGCAGGAAGCACCACCTCTGATTGACGTCATGGGGACAACCCCCTGTGGCTACCAATTGAGAACAACCTCAGCCCCTCCGTCGCCCAGGGTAAAGCATCCCCCAGATCTCCACACACCCAGATTCAAATTAATTCCTACATCTCCACTGCTGAAACAATTCCCAGCGACAAGCAAATCCTTACCACCACCCAGTCCACCTGGCCTCTCACCCAAAACCGTGAATTCAGTCAACTCGAGGCCATTCTTTGGATCGAATTATCAGAGCAATCAGCTCTCCTACAGTTTCGATAAAGTCTCAAGCAGGCCAGAGACGCCAAAGATCTCTGGTGATGTCAAGAGGGAGAGTATAAAAATTCTCCCCCGTTTTGATAAATTTTTAACAAAAGATACAAACAGCACTTCAGTGTCGATTGAAAGGGGTGAGGCTGCAGGAGAGAAGTGCCAGAGGATTCCAACAATCGAGGTGAATGAGAAGAAAACTCTTGAAGATGAAGTGCCTGTTGAGAAGACGGAGGTGGAAAAGAGAACAGAGACACCAGAGGTACAGGAGACGAGGAGTGAGGAGGCAACTGGCAGGAGGCCCAGTCTATCTGTCCTGAAGGGATATCGATCCATGTCCACAACTGTTGATCAGGAAGACCCCATCGTCGTTCAGGACTCCATGCCGCTCCTGGAGAGCAGCGAGCTACCTGAACACTCGAGCAACGAGTCCATCAACGATGAGGACAGCAGGAAGATCAGGCTCAATCAGATCAAGGAGTTACTCAAGCAGAAACCGGGTTTTGCCACCAGGTACACCAAAACAGCGTTTCCATTGGTGAGACGGGCATCCACTGCTACTTCCTCTGGGCGACTCGAGACTGTTGCCAAGACACTGCCCAGGCTGCTGTCACTCGAGCTATTCAACCCAGAGACTGATGATCTTGACAGTGACTCGAGTGGAGTTTCATCACCAGAATCTGTGGGATCGGTTATCAGTGTCATCTCTGATGAGAGATTTATTCTCAAAAACGAATCCCAGAAGGCGAAAGAATCACCACCGAAGGACTCGACCTCGAACTCGGAGCCATCACCGCCGACCGAGGAGACTTCAAGCCCTCTGACAACAGAGATCTCCTCCTCATCATCCCAATCCCTGCGTCTCCTCGAAGCAGCGGCAAATGTCGCTAGCTCCCTGGAAGACGCAGTGGGCCGAGTGATCGGTCTGCATTCCGAGGACAGTCATGACTCCGGGAGTCCACGAAAATCTCAGACAAAAATTGAACACTTGAGAAACCATTTGCAAGAACCAGGGAAGCTCTCCCCATCGGAAAACACGTGGAACGAGGAGTGCAGAAGGCACCTCATTGACTTTACCGATAAATTATCAGAGAACCTGATCCACGACATCGATCAGTACTGCCAGAAAACACGTCTAGAGTTCACCAATGACCTGGATACAATGAAGAATAACATCGAGATAAGGAGGAGCTCAGAGACAAGCAGTTACACCTCGATCCCCTTCAGGAAGGAATCCTCCCCGAAGTTGTCTGGTCTGGCCAACTGCAAGTACAGCGAATTGGTGGACAACACAATAGCCTGGCTGAGAGGTTCAACGGGTGAAGCAGACTTCTCTGAATATGACAATAAGCTGAGTCCCATGGACTCGACCCCAGGCAAGCCACAGGAGTTGGGAGAGACACTGGATCTCTGTCGAAGCACCTCTGAGGATACCATGGACTTCGTGATGGTCTCGAAGACTGGAGAAGTTGAGGAGAACCCCACGAGCATCAGCAACAGTTTCGTGAACTCTGGGGTAGGCCAACCTGAGGAGCACTCTAAAGGGGACAAGTCCTACATGAGATTTGGGGGGTCTGTGGAGTCCAGTGATATCGGGGACTCCATCGAGAACACAGTGAGCCTCAGTGATGACTCAACTGCCACGCGGAGGTTTTGCTGTGGCTCCACAGCATCTCTAACGTCCAACGTGGGGTACAAGAGTCCCAAGGACAGAAGGAAGTATGAGTATTCAAAACGATCAGTCTCTGAGGAAATTCCTGCTGAGAGATACGACACCAAAAGATCTGCTAATCTCTCTGGCTCCTCCTCCCAGGAGTCTCTGCCCTCTGATCGTGGCGGTGGTGCTATCACTTATCATCAGTACTACCATGTCTTCAGGGAGGGGGAGCTCGATGCTCTTATCAATAAATACGTTGAGAATCTTCACATTATATCGTCATACTACGATCATGCTAGCTGGTGTATTGTTGCTGAAAAAGTTCAGGTCTGGACCATTTGACTCTTGGATTCGATCTTGCAGGTTCAAGTAAATTTTTTTAATCCTGTAAAATTGAGGGTTTTTGGGATTCAAGGAAAGGACACGAGATATGGAATTTAATGAGGAGAATTTCCGGGAGGGATTAGTGTACATATGTATTATAAAATGTTTCCGAAGTAAGCGCACAGACCATTAGATACTTTATTTTATCGAAATACCTTCTGTAGCGTAGATTTGTATTTATTTATCTAAGACGCTTGACCAAAAACAAGGGGATGTATATTAAGAGGGTATGAAGGGGGTAAAGGTGTTGAGGACAGGATGTATCCCTCCAAAGAGCCATATCCACGTCAGATAGCATGAGAAATCTTTTTTTTTTTCAATTATTATTGCGGATATTATAGAGATTGTACCATATCCAGGTTGAATAATTAAATGAAGTTATGAAAAAGGGCCTGAGCACTTCCTCCATGTAAATATGTGTTGTTGGTAGTATCGGTGATGAAAATGTCTCCACCATATCATCGAGAAGATTCGACGTTCAAAGGGCGAATAAATGAAGATATTAAGTCAGGGTATAATTAAATAACGAATTAACGAATTTGTTCTGTTGTTTGATTATGTTCATTTTTCTTGTGGAGAAATGAGATTGAAGGGAGAATCGAATGAATACGAAGGTAAAACGGCCAGAGTTTGTGATAATTTTAAGTCAAGTAGTTTTCATAATCGGCCCACGTATTTACTTCACTTTTCTATTGTTAATTTTTTTATCAATCACTTTAATTGATTTTGATAAGGTCATTATGTTGAATTCAATAGTAAAACTTTACGATTTTTTCACGCGATAAAAATCCATGATGATGTTATTATCAAAATAATTTAGATTCAGGTCTCGAGCAATTATTCAATTACTCTCGATGATTGAATAATTGATTCAGAGTTGTAATAATGGTAATTAAGATATTTTCTATGGGTAGACGAGAATATAAAGAACTAAATTCAAAAACGTGTTTACCAGAAGGATTAAAAACTACTACAGAAAAAAAATTATAAATAAATTTTAGGAGAAACGAGAATCCATCCCTAGCGAAATATTCTGATATTAGGAATCGAACCTATGTAATGGAGAGAATATACGTACTTCAGTATTGGAAATAAAATGAAAAATTTTAAAAAAAGCTCAATGTTGTAACGACGCTCTCAAGATTAAACAACAACTGCTACTATCGCATTATTAGATCGTAACATAAATTATTGAAGCGCAAGCGACAATGAGAATTAATAAAAAAAAAAAAACATAATAATCCCAGCCCCAGCGCCTGCAATTCATTCTTACCAAGCAATTTAATTGTAAGATAAATCTGAGTATGAAATAACTGGAGAGGCTATGGCAGAAGTTAACTCCAGAGGATTGTCAGGGTGATGCATGAATTTTCCTCTGACAGAGACGCTTGGACCACTTTGGCTTCATCGAATAACGAAGATGATTCTTAATTAGAGAAAAATCTGTTTAAAGATACTGACAATATGTACACTTATGTGATCAATCGAGAGGTCCCACGAAATTTTGTAAGATACGAAAAAACGCGTTTCCCAGTTGTTTAGTGCTTGAAGAGAATAAGGTAAATAAAAACATTTAAACAAATGATATTGGGTGAAGGAGTTTGGAAGTGGCGGTTTGTTTAGTCTAGTCCCTGGTAGCTTGTTGAATTTTATTCGTAGCTCTCATTCCATTCTCCAAAAGAGCTCTTGCCAACAATTTGACTCTCCCTGAGATTTTAAGATAACCGTGGAAACCTCACGTATTCACAAAATCGATCTGTTAGCCTTTAGCTTTTTCTTGTGGAATGTCTTTTCCGCAAGAGGCAAATTAAAAAATCAATAATTTAACATTAGTGAGTAATCCTGTATTTGAACAGCAGCATTAATCAATAATATAAAAAGCTATGGTGTTCATTAATCCTCGTAATAATTGTAATGAAAAATACTCCATTTCGTTAAACGAGACGAGAAAATCAATGAGCTCCGCAGTGCCCTGTACACAACCTAGTGCTCGCAGAAGCATAGAGTCCCATTTTGGGATTCGCAATTATAACAAACTCCTCGAACAGCAACTGATTTTAAATTAAGTATCCACAGGGGATTCACCTCGATCAATCTTCACCTCCATCCGTTATTTATCACAATCAATAAAAAAGTAAGACTTTTCTAGAGTACACCCTCGTTCGAATATCCACGAATTTTTGAAGACAAGGGATTTCTGGAGTGGATTTTTTATTTACTCTCTTCTGAGGTTCTCGAGCCTGGCTTGTAGGTCGGCATCAGCATCCACGAGGTTTCCACCATCCTCACCACCTCCACCAGCAGCCGCAGCACCAGCTGGGACAGCTTGTTTGCCACCAGTTACACTCAGGGATCCTCCGGCCTGAGGCAGGCCTGACAATTGATCTGTCAGCTGGAGACCCAATTCATCAAGTACCTGGGATACCACAGCATCACTGCAATGACGGAAAATTAGAATACATTTTCAAAGAATTGAGACTTTTTCTTCAAATCTTTCTTTGAAGAATTCTCACCTTTCTTCCTCATCCCCTTCGTCCTCCATTGCGTCATCAATAGCGTCATTCATTATCTCCTCTTTCATGTCCATAATCTCAGACTGCTTTTCGAATTCCTGTAGGATTTTCTGAATCTGGGGCAGATTGAGTTGCCTGGAAGCAGCATAAAATACCAATTGAATTTCTGGATTCGATTTCACTCGATTCCACTGTCAACTCACTTATTCATACTCTGCATGGCCTTGGTGACTCCCTTCATGGCCCCAGCCATTGCATTCTGTGATCTCAGAGTCTGAATTTTCAACGACACTGCCTGAATATTCGCCTTCATCAGCATGAATTTCTTTACGTATCTTCGTGTCCTCACCAGGTCCTTCGCCATAATTTTTACAGCGTCCTGATTGAGGAATAATAAAGAAATAGAACAACATTGAATACTGGGGACAAGCTGGTGATGATTTCGTTACCATTTGCCCATCCTTCGCCATTTTCTTGATATCCATAATGATTTTCTTTTCCTGCTGCTCCATTCTAGCTCTTTCCCTGTCCAGGTCTCGCATCGCTTTATTGAGAGCTCTCTGATTCTTCCTGAGCATCTCCTCAGGGGTAACTCGTTTTCCAAACAACCACTCCATTTCGCAAAACAGATGACTGAAAATTGAATATTGAGTGACACCGAGACATTAACAAATTAAAATCTCTCCAGGTCATCAACAATTTGAGATGGTGAGTCATCTGGGCTGAAGACTGGTGTAATCAATCGAAATGACAGTCTCATGATTAGTGTAACCTCGAATCAGAATGATTTGATAATCGAGGATATCCTGGGGATCTTCGGAGGAAAGATTATAACGAAAAAAATAATCCTACTCACTATTTATTGGTTTCTGAAAATCCTGAAGTTCGCCAGCAAATGATTTCCTATTTTCAATCAATGACAAATGTTTTGATTATGTGTGAAGGTCATACGTCAAAGTGTCTGGATTCTAAAACGCAGAGTATTTTTCAGTTTTGCATGGTCTGTAGGAAATTTTTGTCGGTAATATCTCTGCCGGTAATTTGTTTATTTGCGATAAATGTTTTATTCGGCTCACCGCCCATGATACTATCCGGTGCTTTCAAATTTTTCAAATTTCAGTGAATACATCCTTGATTTTCCTGATCCCTGGGTACTTTTTTTTAATTTCAAATTGTTTAACGTGAGTGAATACCTCAAAGAGGATTGACTAAAGTAGAGGCTCAGTTGTAGGGGTTGGAGTGACCCCAGCGGCATCGAAGTACTGCACCCCAAGAGTGCATCAAGTCGATGGGGTGAATTTTATTTTCTGCAGTATGAATGCTTTTTGTTTTTTATTTGTTTAACTGAAATTCAGCCGACTGTAGAACGTGCGGAAGGGGGAAACCACATCTTGTGGAATTTCAATGAAAAAAGTTATTCAATATATTGAAGATATACCACTAATGAAATTATATTTTCAGTATGAGCGCGTTGTCTTAATGGTAACGTGCTTGCCTACCACGCCGACGGCCAAGGTTCGATCCCGCCGTTGTTCATTTTTTTTTTCTTTAAATAATTTCAATTTTAACTTTTTTTAATTGGCTAATCAATCTAAATATTGTTTAAACACTGAATTTTTGAAAAGCGGAAAGATATCCTGTGAAATTGAAAATTTCAACATTTTTGAAAACGAAACATTTGAAAATATATACTACTAATAAAAATTTATTTTTATAATAACACGTTGTCTTAACGGTAACGTGATTGCCTATCACGCCGACGGCCCGGGTTCGATCCCGCCGTCATTCATTTTTTTTTTTAAATAATTCCAATTTTTTCGTTCGATAGGTATTCACTGCAATTGAAAAATTCGAAATTTTTGAAAAAGTATCAGGGGAACATAACAATCGAGGAGTTATTCACTGAAAGTTTCA